AAAAAATCACTGCTATCAAGCACTGAGACTGGTCCAGAAATTACTCCTGTTATCATTTGATTGTGAGTTGACCAAAAGTTAAAGACTTTTATAAGATTTTAACTCAAATTGGGCAAAGAATCGTATTTATTCTTGGTATATTTCTGTAACAATATTTGGCAAAAGAGATATTTTTCTTTAACATTTGCACACAAATTTATTGGTACATCAAATGGAGGAAAAATAATTCTTATTTTGTCAGGAAAACCTCAGTGGAGTCCCTTTAATGTATTCATACTTGATTACTGACAATGCTGCAATAACCAATTATCAATACTACATTTAAACACAAAAAAAAGTAAGTTATTTCACATATGTTTTCAGTACTTAACTCAAAATTGCCCATAAAGTTACTATGGAACAATCAAAATCTATTTGGCTCATACATGTAAAATGCAAAACACAAAGGACAACAGTATCAAGTTTGTAAGGGTAGACTTTCTGAAATGCTTTCCCGCCAAAAAATTGTAACATCGGCCAATATCGTAGCAAATCGGTTATTTCCAGAATGTATTTTTTTCAGAATGTGGGGCATTAGATTATTTACAATCACTCAAGCAAATCGGTTGTTTCCAGAACATTATTTTTCAAAATGTTGGGTATTAGATTATTTACAATCACTCATACTTTAACTCTTTTTGGTTATAATTGGTTAAAATTTATTGAATACCTACGATTGTGAAAAATATCATTCCGGAAATGACCTATTTATTCCGATTTTGACCGATGTTAGAATTTTTTGGCGGGAAAGCATTATAGGAAGACAACCTTAAACGTTACACATATAGAACTGTTTCTTTTTCAATAATAAATGCTAATTCATTACAAAAAATGCAAAACTTTGGCTGAGAAAAGTTTAAAGCTATTGAGCAGATCAACCACTGTATAATAATAACAAGAGGGCCATGATGGCCCTGAAATCGCTCACCTGAATATACCAACACTCCATGACAAGGAATAAGTAGCATTGTAAACTATTAACAAAAAGCATCTATAAAATCTACATATAAATCTTAATGTGGTATCATAAAGTTCATATTTGTATCTGAAATTGTGCATGAGTAAAAAACCATTACATGTTGCTACAGTTAAAGGTTAACAACAGTTCCAAAAGATGTATATATATATATATATATACATACATAAGGAAAATCAATGACCCCCTATTATAATAATAAATGCATGAGTAAAAACCATTACATCTACCTTTAGTTATTGGTAAAACAACAGTTCCAAAAGTTGTGTATATACATAAGGAAAATCAATGACCTTCTATTATAATAATAATAAAAACAAAAACTTTAAACAATTTACCCCAAACGGAATCTTGTTTTTAAACAGAATTTGAAAAAAAAAAAAAAAATAAAATCCCTCCTTTTTATATATGTTATGACCATATAGAATTTAATCTCTATATAGCCGCCCTCTTCACAACAATCATCTCTTTACAACAACAATTTTAAATCTTCCTAAACTTAGTCTTCACAACAATTATATTTAACCTCTGTAGAGCAATCACCTCTCAATAACAACCACTTTCTTCATCTGCAAAGGTTGTTGCTATGCAAAGGTTGTTGCTATGCAAAGGTTGTTGCTCTGCAAAGGTTGTTGCGATGCAAAGGTTGTTGCTATGCAAAGGTTGTTGCGATGCAAAGGTTGTTGCTATGCAAAGGTTGTTGCTATGCAAAGGTTGTTGCTATGCGAAGGTTGTTGCTATGCAAAGGTTGTTGCGATGCAAAGGTTGTTGCTATGCAAAGGTTGTTGCTATGCAAAGGTTGTTGCTATGCGAAGGTTGTTGCTATGCAAAGGTTGTTGCGATGCAAAGGTTGTTGCTATGCAAAGGTTGTTGCTATGCAAAGGTTGTTGCTCTGCAAAGGTTGTTGCTATGCAAAGGTTGTTGCTCTGCAGAGGTTGTGAATTGTATAGTTTGTTTGTTTCATTTTACGCCTTTTCCCAACAGTATTTCAGTCATATAGACGGGTAGTTTCCTAACCATCGTTCCTGGAGAGTTACACCAGTACTAGACTACCTTCCTCCGCGCTAAACTACCAAAGCAAGCTCGGGGGTGAATTGTATAGAGGATATAGAATGAGTGTTAGTTTAAATACTGAATTTATTGAACGAGTTGAATAAAATTATATTATGCCGGCCTCTGGCTGGCATAATATGATTTTCTTAAACAAGTTCAATTAATTTAGTAAAGAACTTACACGAATTTAATATTTTATTTATCACATACATAAAATAAAGACTGTTTGAAGTGATAAAGAAACATTTTTCATTGACGCGTCCATTGTATAACGCTGACATTTAGTGGATCATAACGCTGTGTTTATATAATGCAAATGACGTCACATCAAAATACATGCACCGCCATGCAATACAATTTTTATGTAGTCGCAAAATCAGCATGGGTGTGTGATAAATATATCAATTAAATAAACCCCTTGTAAAATTCACTTTCTCCATTACATTTTTTTTGTTATCTATCTGAATTTTTTTTTAAATTCCTAATCAATTAAAATGATTTGAAACTCCAGATTAAATAGATGCACAACTCTCTACATGATATCACTGTAAAATTATGAATTCTTTATGGTGTATGAAATTTGTTAGTGAATATTGACAGTATATTATACAGGAATTTTCAAAAGTAAAAATTATTGCTTAAATTGTATAAAACTAGACATCTGCTGTTAGTTAAATAATTTAATTTTTTTTTTTTTTCAGAATTATTCCAAAAAACCTGAATGAACAAAGTATGTTTGTATTTTCCAATAAGAGAAAATGGTACATGCACAAAATCATTTCTAATTAGTTACAACCATACACAAAATAGCATCATATTTCATTTTGTTCCAAAACCAATTCATTTTTTTTTACATATAATAATACTCCAGTGTGTTAAATAACAGCTATTTTCTTTGTTACAATTCTTTCTATAATCAACAAGAACATAATTTTATAGCTAATAAATTCAATAAAGACTACTACAACATAATAAACTAATAAATTCAATAAAGACTACTCCCGTGATATAGCCTGGGTATTAGGTGAATAAATTATAAAGTTTTGAACAACAAAGACAATTAACATGTTTATAAAGGAATAACAAAAGTTGAGAGCAAAACTGTGTAAGTCCTTCTTTATTTCATATAAGTTACTGCAGTTTTGCCATCAACGCTCACACTATCATTATACATTTATAGGTAAATGAGAGTGCACATATATAACTATAAGCAAGTTCAAGGATCTTACACAGGCTGCCGGTACAGACTGGAATATCTTCATTATACATTTAAAGGTAAATGATAGTGCACATGTATTACTGTAAGCAAGTCTTACAGACTTTCAAGGATCTTACACGAACTACCCGTATAGACTAGAATATTTAGATAGAAGGTAACTGTTTACGGCAGTAACAAGGACCTGCTGAGTTTCAGCTAAACAGTTACCCAGGAGCTAGATATTTGAGTCTGTAACAACAGCAAGTGTTTGATTCTTTTTCTTGCATTTTACATGTTTCTTGTTGAAAAGAAAGTATGAACATTTGATAAGCACTTTTTTATTATATACACCTATTTACATCCTTCGTAACGGCAATATGACGTCATTCTAAGAAGGCAATTAATTCATAAAAGGCACATGGGAATGATTTATTTAAAGCACACAAATTGTCTTACATTGAGGGTGTAAGGCAGGTTTTTTTCTAGCACTGGTGGAAATAGTAGATAATCCTATCTGATATATGCAATAAGCAAACAATGATAGTAGGCGGAGCTTAGTAGGCAGAGCTTAGTAGGCGGAGCTAAGTAGGCGGAGCTTAGTATGCTATTATCTTCATCATACAACTCGTATGGTTTCTACTATTCCACCAATAGTTGAGCTAAAATATCTATTACTTTCTGCAACTTATATGAAAATCAAAGTACAATAATATAAACACACAAGTTAGATTTTACAACTTATATGAAATCAAAGTGCAATAATATAAACACACAAGTTAGATTTTACAACTTATATGAAATCAAAGTGCAATAATATAAACACACAAGTTAGATTTTACAACTTATATGAAATCAAAGTGCAATAATATAAGCACACAAGTTAGGTTTTACAACTAACCGGCATATGAAAACAAAGAACAATATTATAAACACACAAGTTATAATATATATATATATATATATATATATATATATATATATATATTATATATATATATATATATATATATATATATATGTTAAATCACTAATTTAAAATGAGTTATACTATATATATATGAGCCGCGTCACGACAAAACCAACATAATGGGTTTGCGACCAGCATGGATCCAGACCAGGCTGCGCATCCGCGCAGTCTGATCAGGAGCCATGTGTGTTCGCTTACCAACTTTATTACAAGTGGAGAAACTGACAGTGAACAGAATGGATCCATGCTGGTCGCAAACCCACTATGTTGGTTTTGTTGTGACACGGCTCATATATATGTTAAACATGATCTGAACACAAATTTGTATATTAAATGTAAATCAACAATTTTGACATGCCTTCTTTGTCACAACACTTCTACAAACTTAAACAAATCTGGAACATAAAATCTTCCTCCCAGAACAAACTTACCAAAAAAAAAAAAAAAAAAATAATAATAATAATAATAATAATTAACAATACATGTGTTATATAAAGTAACTTCATACTGAATGCTATTTAGATCACAACAATTTGAGCCGCGTCATGACAAAACCAACATAGTGCGTTTGCAACCAGCATGGATCCAGACCAGTCTGATCAGGATTCATGCTGTTCATTATCAGTTTCTCTACTTGTAATAGGGTTGGTAAGCAAACAGCATGGATCCTGATCAGACTGCACGGATGCGCAGGCTGGTCTGGATCCATGCTGGTCGCAAACGCACTATGCTGGTTTTGTCGTGACGCGGCTCAAATACTTATGTTAAAAAAAACTTCTATACTTTCATCATTTTTGGTCCCTTTATCTGCAATAAGCTAATCAAGTACTTTGGAATGAAAGTTTTTGTCCCCCAAAAAAACTTGTTTTATTGTGCAAGTTCTTGGTGAGCATAACATTTAAATAGAACAAGTTGAATACGTTAAGTAATGAATCTTTATCATATACGTATAAATGAAGTATTGAGAAATTTTGATGAAATATAACGCATATTTTCATTTTCCTTTTCACTGTAAAAATTTATTTATCACTACTGTGAAACATATTTTCAATATTTTCACCGATATCTTGCCAGAACTACTTTTTTCTTAATTCAGCCAAGACACAAAATTTTCAAATTGTAACATCTTAAAAGAGAAAAAGTATATAAAAAACAGAAAATTCATTCCTTTTTAGATGTAAATAAATGTAACAATAACATATTCTTCATCTATAAGCTGTGTTTGCATAAAGCCAAAATCTTCTTGTTCCAATTAATGCGTAAAGGGTGTCACTGTTAGAAAAAAATGCTAACCGTTTAAACCATAAACGTTATAACCGTGTTAAACGTTTAACAGACCAAACTAATAAAATCTTTAGATTTACATGTACAACATATACTTATTTTTGTTTCTTTATCATAATGCAAAATGTTATTTTGTAAATATTTTGTTGTCCCAAAAATTTTTTTTGATTACAATACATATCCGAACAAGAAGTTACTATTTTCTGCAAGGGTTGTATCATATTTGCTCAGATCGAAAAAAATACATTGTTGAGTACAACTAAAATACAAACAGTTGTCATATCTTGTTATGAAAAAAACTAAGGTAATATTTAGAATCGACTTATTACTTATTCGCCCCTTTGTCAATACTTAGCTAGGTTACCGGTTATTGTATTTTTTAACAGTTTTTTTTTTGCTAAAAACCGGTCACAACGGGTTTCAACAGATTAACATGACACCCCTAATATGCATGGACTTTCCAGTCTTTTTTACAGTCAAACAAGTGGCGTAAGGAATGATATCTACATGTATATCTTGGTAATGTAATGTGGCGAAAGGAATGATATCAACATGTATATCTTGGTAATGTAATGTGGTGAAAGGAATGATATCAACATGTATATCTTGGTAATGTAATGTGGCGAAAGGAATGATATCAACATGTATATCTTGGTAATGTAATGTGGCGAAAGGAATGATATCAACATGTTTATCTTGGTAATGTAATGTGGCGAAAGGAATGATATCAACATGTTTATCTTGGTAATGTAATGTGGCGAAAGGAATGATATCTACATGTATATCTTGGTAATGTAATGCGGCAGAGATATAAAAAAACATTTATGATTGGTCGAACTTAAAATACAACATGTGCTCGTAACACCAAGATGACTGCATCAGCTTCCATTGTCCAAATGAACTTTTTTTATCTCCTCCTGGAGCTCTTCAACATTACCATTCTCAAGGTCGTTCTCCAAGCCAAGGTCATTCTCCAAGTCAAGGTCATTCTCCAAGTCAAGGTCTTCTAATCGGTTCTTCAGATTTGTCTCCCCTGACAACAAAGTTTGAGGAAATAATCCCATATTGATATAATCATCAAGGACCTGAAAATGTAGCAAATAAACAAAGGTTAATGTTGTTTGTTTGTTTCATTTTACGCCTTTTCCCCAACAGTGTTTCAGTCATATAGGCAGGTAGTTTCCTAACCATCGTTCCTGGAGAGTTACACCAGTACTAGACTACCTCCCTCCGCGCTAAACTACCAAAGGTTAATGTCTATTTCAAAATGGGGTTTTGCAAAAGAGAAACTACCCTAGAGTCAGTAATGGCAGAGACACTTTTACCTCTGCTTTAAAATATCATGTCATTCTTGGAAATAATTTCTTTAAGTTTCAGTTTATAATTGAAATTATTTCTTAAAATTTCAGTCATTATTTGAAATTATTTGTCAACTTAAAACAGGAAATGCCTTAGTAGAAACTTGTTAATTGTAGACTGATGTATGGTCAAAGCTCAGATAAAAAAAAATTTGTTTGCTTGTCTGCTTTTATGCTAATTTGAATACATATTTGGTCACATCTTTGCGGTAAGTCTACTAGCTTACCAGAATAACTAATATATTAAATAAATAAGAAGTTCTCTGCAAGGGATCAACAACTACTATAATAATAATTTACTGTGATTTTATTGTATAATAACACACACTTTCGATTTCTTCCGTGTTCAATAGGGAAAAATGCGGGTAGTGTTTGAATATGCTTTCTTCAACAGAGATGAGAGACAAATAATCACACAATATTCTAGATCAAAGGTCACACAAAATTCTATATCAAAGGTCACACAATATTCTAGATCAAAGGTCACACAAAATTATAGATCAAAGGTCACACAATATTCTAGATCAAAGGTCACACAATATTCTAGATCAAAGGTCACACAATATTCTAAATCAAAGGTCACACAAAATTATAGATCAAAGGTCACACAAAATTATAGATCAAAGGTCACACAAAATTCTAGATCAAAGGTCACACAAAATTCTAGATCAAAGGTCACACAATATTCTAGATCAAAGGTCACACAATATTCTAGATCAAAGGTCACACAATATTCTAGATCAAAGGTCACACAAAATTCTAGATCAAAGGTCACACAATATTCTAGATCAAAGGTCACACAAAATTATAGATCAAAGGTCACACAATATTCTAGATCAAAGGTCACACAATATTCTAGATCAAAGGTCACACAAAATTATAGATCAAAGGTCTCACAAAATTATAGATCAAAGGTCACACAAAATTCTAGATCAAAGGTCACACAATATTCTAGATCAAAGGTCACACAATATTCTACATCAAAGGTCACACAATATTCTACATCAAAGGTCACACAATATTCTAGATCAAAGGTCACGCAATATTCTAGATCAAAGGTCACACAATATTCTAAATCGAAGGTCACACAATATTCTAGATCAAAGGTCGCACAATATTCTAAATCAAAGGTCACAAAAAATTCTAGATCAAAGGCCACACAATATTCTAGATCAAAGGTCATACAAAATTCTAGATCAAAGGTCACACAATATTCTAGATCAAAGGTCACACAATATTCTAGATCAAAATCACACAAAATTCTAGATCAAAGGTCACACAATATTCTAAATCAAAGGTCGCACAATATTCTAAATCAAAGGTCACAAAAAATTCTAGATCAAAGGCCACACAATATTCTAGATCAAAGGTCATACAAAATTCTAGATCAAAGGTCACACAAAATTCTAGATCAAAGGTCACACAATATTATAGATCAAAGGTCACACAATATTCTAGATCAAAGGTCACACAATATTCTAGATCAAAGGTCACACAATATTATAGATCAAAGGTCACACAAAATTCTAGATCAAAGGTCACACAATATTATAGATCAAAGGTCACACAATATTCTAGATCAAAGGTCACACAAGATATCACATTAATTCACAAACATTCACATAACTGCCAAACTTGAAAGTCGTGCAAATGTAGCTGCTAGTTCAACAAACAAGAGGGCCATGATGGCCCTTAAATCGCTCACCTGAGTACATAGTTCAAATGAACAAAACTGCATTATAAATACATTGGAGGAAACATCAATATTACAAATTTTAGTGAGCAGGGGCTGTTGTAATAAAAGACTCACTTTGTTGAATTCATACCTTTCATATTATTATTGCAAAATGGACCCTGCACATAGTAAATTTTCACTGGACAAAACTTTTAAATGTTGACTAGAATTATTAAAATTTTCTATTTTTAGATCTGGCGCCAGCAACTTGAAAGCATTTGAGCAATTTCTATAGAATTTTGTTTTTGTTTGTTTGTTTCATTTTACGCCTTTTTCCAACAGTATTTCAGTCATATAGGCAGGTAGTTTCCTAACCATCGTTCCTGGAGAGTTACACCTTCCTCTGTGCTAAACTACCTAAGCATCTCCATGGGATTGAACCCATGCCACGTCTATTTTCTATATAAAATGAAATAAAATGGCCACCATTTTTTTCTCGAGTCATTCTTATATTCAACGATAGGGCATAGCCGAAGTAACTATTACTCTAATAAAATTTATTTTCTTTGCTACCTAGAGTTCTTTTTGCGTATAAAATATCTTTTTGTTGAAAAGTCAAAAGTAAACATCCGTTTTCAAACGGAAGTAATTATAATGTGAATAATTTTGTGTCAAATTGGAACATGCAGACGATTAAAGCATGCTCGGCTACACCTCGGGTAACAGTATTTTCCTCGGGATAATATTTTTACTGTTACCCACAAACCCATGTGTTATTTATATGCTTCTTCTCAGTTTAGCTCTGGAGTCTATTCAGCACGATACGGTACAATTTTAGCAAGTTTTTTTTAATTTGATTTGCTTAAAATGTTTTTATTATCATACTCTAAAAACAAGCCAAGTTAAAAGAAATTCTATCGAACAGTTTTAATTTTGCCTATATGTCTTATGATATGAAAACTCCTGGCAACGTTCTTAAGAACTGTCATATAAAGATTTCTGCCGAGTTTTATCAAAATCAACGAGTGGTTGAGTAAAAAGTAAGAAAGTTAATGTCGGACGGCAAACACAGGTGTATCACAACAGCTCATCTAAAGCATGTTGTGCTCAGGTGAGCTAAAAACAAACCTGTTTAAGTTGTGTAATTTCCAGGTATGGGTGGTCACATGTGAAGCCAGTTTCTTCTAATTTACTACCATCTAAATGTATATGCTTGTTGTATAGTAACTCCTGAAATATTACATACATAGTTTACATTAAACACTATACAAGAGGGCTATGATGGCCCTGAGTCGCTCACCAGAAACAACTGCTTTTCAGTGTGGGAAATTATCCAATTGTCAATATTTTCTAATATTAAATTTGAGCATAGAATATGTTTAAACAATAATTTGAAGAAATGTCATGACATTAGATTATATAGGGATGGATGGCAAAGAGTAACCAGTTAATCGAGTACTCAATGGAATATCAGAGTATGAGTTGACAACAAGAGCACTGCATGGGGTGTTAATGCTTGTCTGTGAAGGACATTAACATTGACCAATTTCATCAAAAAATTCTAAGCTAAAAAGGGGCATTACTCCAAAAATGTAGCTTTCAGAGTAATGCCCGTCGTTTTACAACCCCACCTAGTCATGATAAGCAAGTATGCCCAGTTTCATGTTATAAATATAGATATATTTTAAAATGTTTGAAAAATGGTAGGCTTAAGTTTTGACCAATAACACTACAAAAGCGTGTTTCCGAGATTTATTCCCAGGAATTTTATATATTAAACCCTTTACTGTTAATTGCTCTATACAGTCTGTCTCTATGACAACATCAAAATGATCTGTATACATGTATATATTAAAGAAAACATTTCTAGTTATTGATAAGCTACCTGATCTAAGAATGGATTTAGAGGAGTGTTTTTGATGCCATCTCTGGTACAAGCCTCGGCCCAGGGCGCCATGTGTTTATCATTGATATCTTCTACAACCGAGGTCATGTTCATCTACAAAATATGAAATATATATCTAGAAACAGTTGATATATGTTCATGTTAAGATAAAGAGATTTAAACTATTTATTAACATATTCATGTTAAGATGTTCATGTTGGACCTAAGAAGAGTATTTGTGTAACTCTGAGTTAATTTACATATCATGGATTTAATCAAATGTTATGAAGTGTTTTACATTTACAGACATGCTACAAATTTGAATGTAAACAAAGGGCAAGAACTCCATAATTAGGCAAGGCAGAGTTACAGTTCTTTTGCACTGCACTTTTAACTAATGAGATCTATCTATCTACAAAATTTGAAGATTATATCTCTTGTACATTGTGAGTCATGTCCCGGACAAGAAATTTGCAACAGACCAAACAACCAAACGACCGATCACCAGTTTGTCGGGGGTGTAATATACATACCTGTTATGAATATTTACAAAGTGTACTTACTCTTGCCAGGTTTGATTTGATAGATCCAAGAAATTCATAAGAAATGCCAAATATCTGAGCCACTAACTCACTAATTTGTCCTTGATCTAAAAGAAAAAATAAATATAAGCTGTTGGTGTTGGTAGTTTTCACTTTGAATCACAGAGTTTACCAGAGCACACTGGTCAGCCATCACATTGTTCCTAGGCAGGCTGTTCAGCAGTACTAGTTGTCTTAATTTTCAAAAGGAGAAAGACAGTGTGAATGACCAAAGAAAAGATTTCATGATTGTTTGTTTGATTTGGTTTAAACATATTTATTTAAGCTCGATTGCGAAACAAGTTCTTGCAACTTATATTAATCACTTTCGAGTCTGCTTCCTGGAACCAACCAGTACTGGTGTCATATGAAGAAACATGGTCGTGACCCGAGTAGGGCTCGAACCCATGATCTCTGGGTTGAGAGGCAGACACCTTAACCATTAGGCCACCGCTCCCCTTATTGTTTGTTTGATTTGGTTTTATGTCACACCGACACATTATAGGTCATATAGTGATGTTCCAGCTTTACAGGTAGAGGATGACCTCAGGTGCCCTTCTGTGCATTATTTCAGGCACAAACAGGCACATGAGTAGAACCACCAATGTTCCGTAAACTAGCTGGATAGCTTCCTCACATGGAAGAATCCAAAGTCCCTGTCGGAATTTGAACCAACAGCGGTGAGGGGCAAGTAGTTAGTCAACGACCTTTACAACTTGGCCACAGACTCAAAGATTTCATAATCAAGCACAAAGAAAGTGCCTGTACCCTCATGGAATTGAACCCAGGTTGCCCGATTCACAGTCCAACGCTCTACATATTGAGCTAAGCTGACGGCTCCAAAAATAAATAGTAACCCTTAATCTGCTGAATTTATGTAATGGATTTGCCCAGGTTCAAAATTTGGAACAGTCCATTTAAAGTTTAAGAGGATCATTACTTCAATAAAACAAGAACATGTGTTGTGGTAAACACATATATACAGTGTCGGCCAGGCCGATTCTTGTTAGAAACCAATTTACCAAAAAGGTTTACTCATTCTTTTGGTAGAAAAATATTTTATTGATTATTGATAGAATATTACGTTCCTGTGATTTAAACAGACAATAAAAGTCAAACACCATGTTGTTTCCGCACTTAACAGTGCCAATAAACACATGAAAGTGTGATTGCATCATTAGTTTAGTGTGTCATCATTCTTATAACAGTTAATGGCTATCTAACTTCTGCCCAATGGTTTACAGTGTTTTTTTTCACCAAAATATTCGGCGAAATTCGACCTTATTCCCCCCTCAAAATAGTATGTCTTTTCCCCTCTCAAAGCAGAAATTTCCCCCTCATATGGCAGCCAAACTTTGCCTGCAATGGACAGGCCTAGACATTAACTTTTGAATCAGGTTGTCCTGTTGGGCAAGTAGTTTTTAAAACTACTCGCCCTGACCTAAGACTTACTTGTCCTGACCTAAAAATGGTAAAAATGTATCAATCAGAAAAGACAAACAAGCTCATACATTATTACTTTTTGTATAATGTCATGTTAACATAAGGCAATAAACTAGACATATTGTTTATGAAATTGATTGTTAGTTAGACACAAATATTTTTGTATTCAGTAGTTAATCTAAAACATCAGTTCATCAATCATCATCCAGGCTAATAACGACGACTACGTTTATAATGTCGTTATATTAGATAAAACAATAAATCATTTTTCAATACGAATCGAAAGATCAATACGATTATTTACATATTTTCAATGATATCTTTACATGCACGCATCAAAATTAAAACGACAGCATGACCCGGGAATTACCTTGTACAAAATTAAATATAGTCTATTATTAGAACGGGGAATTACCTTACAGCAGCGCATGCTCATATTTTGGCTTCCGTTTTCTATATCAACAAATGTACATGACAGTAGTGTATTTACATTATTGATAATTGTTCATGGTGTATTTTTGTTTTACAGATGTTTATAAATGAAAAGATGTTTTTTTCTATTTATTTTGTACATGCATTTTGTTAATGATGCTTTTTAATTTCACTTGCCCTGTCGGACAAGTGCTTTTCTAAATAACTTGCCCGGATCAAACTTTTAGTTGTCCCGGGCAGTCGGACAACCGTTAATGTCGAGCCCTGATGGATACCATTTTTTTTGCATATAACTGCCAAAAAATGTTTTATATTAAGCCTGTAAGACTTACTGTTAAGCAAAGTTGTTTACAAATTGTTCCCGGGTAAGTAAGGGGAGCTACTCCTGACGTCCCAACAAGTTTAACATGCGACTCTTTAAATTCTGCTGTCAATATTTTAAATCCGTATATTAAGAAAAAGTGACGTATTTAAAACTTGTGTTGCAAGAGTTGCTCCCCTTTTCTACTCACTGGAAAGAAAACAATGTCAAACAAAAGTAAATCTTACAGTGGTAAGTGATGTATTGAAATATGCATTGGATTCTTTTTTGTTTCTTCATTTGTGAAGAAATGAAATTCCCCTTCCTTTTGCATTTTTCCCCCTCCAAACGGCACCGACCCCCTTCCCCAAAAAGTGGTTTATATGACAAGATTAATTTTAGAAATGCATTATATAGAAAACCACTAGTAAACTTGATAGAAATTGACTTAGAATAGCCTAACTCGTTTTGAATTGTTCATAATTTTATTTTCTATTTTTATATGTATTTTCTTAAAATTCCCATGAATCTAGAAAAAAGCTGCTTTGAAATACAGTGAATACCTATTTATGTTTTTTTAAGAAAAAAGCAAATATTTCAAGTATAAAAGGGAAAATAATTCAACAATGCCAAGGAGGGGGTCATAACAATAGCTCCACATTTTTTCTTTGAAAAGTGGAGCTCATAAAACAAAAATACAAGTATACACTATAGACCTTTATACAAAAAAAATCAAACCAGGGCTGATTATGTAGAGTCTAACTATTTCTGAAGGTAAAGAATAAAACTTACTTGTATGTCCTTTATCCACACAATGATACACCTGCCCTGACTCACCGTGAGTGAATAAATGACAAATAGCTTTACATAGATCATCTACATGGATAGTGTTCATCTTTAGTTCCTTCGTCCATAGCAACTGTAACATAGATAAAATTATGTCCATAGCAACTATAACTTTGATAAAATAATGCCTATAGTAAATACAACATTGATAAAATTATGTCTATAGCACTTATGACATTGATAAAATTATGTCCATAGCAACTATATCATAGATAAATTATGTCTATAGCAACCATAGCATTGAATAATTATGTCCATAGCTAAAGTAAGAGTGTAAATTTACATTTTTGTCTATAGCAACTATAACATTGATAAAATAATGTCCATAGCAACTGTAACATTGAGAATTATGTCCATAGCAACTATAACATTGAAGAATTATGTCCATAACAACTTGAACATTGAACAAGGGTAACATTATCGCAAAATACGCCCGTCACAAAAGCTTTTGTCTGGGATGTGGGCTTTAGAAATAGGTATATAGACCATATGCTCTAGGCAATATCAGGAAAATATCTGGATATTTTATCATCTCTAGTGACTTTGGTAGCAGAGACCTGGATTATGTGCGCAAAACTTAGTTTCATGATAATGACCATTAATGTGTTTCAATCCCTTAATGAACGAGACTAAATGGTCTGAATACACATTTTCATATTTTTATCAGAACTTTGACCCCTGTGTGACCTTGACCTTGGCAGCAGGGACCTAAATTTTACAATCATGTGACACTCCGCCTTACCATGGTGAACATTTGTGCCAAGTTAAATTGAAATCCCTCTATGCATGTAGAAGTTTGGCTCCGGACAAGTGTTTTTTCAATGACCCCTAAGTGTGACCTTGACTTTGACCTAGAGATCTGGTTCATATGAGTGACACTCCTTCTCATTGTGGTGAACATTTCTATAAAATTCCTCAATAGGTGTAGGAGATATACTCCAGCCCAGCCACCCAAACACCCGCCCGCCAGGGAGGAAACTGTAATTCAACTCATTTTTCAAACAGGCGTATAAAAATTGTCTTGAAACTGGACAGCAACTGGATACCAAGCTTCTTCAGTAAATATTAAATAACTATTCTAACCTGACCTGCATTTTTCCCTATTAAAAGTAAAATATGCTATGAAATCACTGTTGACAATCTATATTTAGACGACGTATTTATTAAAAATGCAATGCGCTGAATAACAAATCAGGCACAATTTAGCTTGATATCAGGTAAGGAAGGATTAATTTGTTATGTTGTGTTAGAATCAAAATAATATCCCCAGCATTGCTTTATCGCCCTCATGATATAATTCTTCGCTACCGAACTCAAAACAGTGATTTTTATTTAGCGATAAAATGACTGTTGGAGATATATTATTTGTTTAATACTGAGTGGGTGACTTGTTTGACAAACTATTGTACATAAATGAAAGATTTAAGTAACATTTAGTAACAAAATAGTTTATATCCTTCTTTGGTAGTTTCTTATCTTATGGCATTCTTATATCTTTTAACGAGAACACCGCTAGTCAGATGTGTCGCCTTGTGAACAGTTTAGCTGTCACTTAGGCATTTTTCTTCTTAAATATAGGTATATTTATAAACACCACTCTTATAATGTACATGTACCTTGAACTTTAGTGGCATTTGAACTGATTGTAACAATGTTACATCAGGATTGATGTAACTTAAATAGCTTTAATTGTGTAGATTTTTGTTTGTTTGCTTCATTTTACGCCTTTTCCCAACAGTATTTCAGTCATATAGGCCGGTAGTTTCCTAACCATCGTTCCTGGAGAGTTACACCAGTACTAGACTACCTTCCTCGGTGCTAAACCACCAAAGCATCTACCGGGGATCGAACCCACGCCAGAGAGGTAACTGGATTAGAAGTCATCGACTCTAACCCCTCGACCACGGAGGCGGTGTTATTATGTAGGAGAATTGGCCTGGACAAAATAAAGTATAATAATTAACAAAGGACAATAACTGTAAAATCATGAAATACAGAGTACTAGTTTTTAAGCAATGCACTTTTTCTTAATGAGATCTATCATCCTATAAAGTTTCACATCCATAGCTTTTATTTTTTAGGATAAATGTCACGCACAAAAATGAAATATGAAAATTAACAAAGGGCAATAACTCAAATAATAAGAAGTGCAGAGTACTAGTTTTCATCCACTGCACTTCTTCTCAATAAGATCTATCATCCTATGAAGTTTCAAGTCCATAGCTTTTATAGTTTTGGTGAAATGGCCAGAACAAAAATGAAGTAAGAAAATTAACAAAGGGCAATAACTCAGAAATTAAGAACACAGAGTAATGATTCTTGTGCACTGCATTTTGGGTAATTAAAATAAGCATGCATACCAACTTTGGAGTTAATCCAACATATAGTGTTTGAGTTATGCTTCGGACAAGCCTAAGGGGCCGCTGCCGCCGACAACAATGTCGCTGACAAAAATAACCCCTATATGTCGCTTTTTTCAAGGCAACACATTAAAATGGTGTTTCTGTGATAAGTTACCATGTAGAAACAATGGCTTAGTAATTTAACTTCAACAATTCAAACTGAACATAAATAACCAGGGTTAAGACACTATTAAAATTGTTTTCATAACCTTACTCAGAAAGAAATATTTTTTAACTTCTTAAGAAAGAGTAAACATGAATTTTATAATGTACACTTCAGCCTCATTAAAACGCTCATGTTGGGGTCCAATGTCTCAACACCGCGTTCTAACGAGGCTCTCATTAGAACGCTCATTGCGAAATTTCCGCATTACCCCACCCACTACATACATATATATATAACGCTGATTTTTTATACTTACTGTTCAATGAATATTGACATTATCTTTTTCTAAAACCATTTAATGATGTAAACATATATTATATTCAGAAATAATACTAATTATATTTAAAAGAAACGAAAAACTTTCGAAAGAAAATTATAAATCATGAATGTAGTGTAAAACAGCCATTACTGTAATGACGTTTGATTAACTAGGGGACACAACTAAAGCTGGACTGTAAATAACACTGTAATTTACAGTCCAGCTTTAGTTGTGTCCCCTAGTAAATCAAACGCCAATTACTTCCTGTCATGGCCGCTTTATTTACAGTGCAGGATTTTAAATTGATTTTGGGCTTGTGGGTTATTTAATTCAGCGAGGTTTACATGTCAAAGCTATGTGTGCATATTTTAATTTATTTATACTCACCACCGGTTGCCAATGTCACAGTTATGATATGAATTTGAGATTTTGGAAACAATTTGAAGACAGGTAAAACAACAAAAGAGCGGATAAACGCTTACCTGGGCATGTTTTTCACACCTTTGGCGCTCATAAATGTCCTAATAACAATTGTTTATTGTACTTGACTGTCAAATTGGGCAAGCGTTAAAGAGCGCTATAAATCTAAGTCTACTTGAAAAAAAAAAATTTTTTTTTTTTGGGAAGTTTTTTTTTTTTTTTTTTTTTTTGGGAGCCAAGGTCTATGAGCGCTCTACTGAGATTAGCGTTATAGTGAAGAGCGAGTTATCGAGGCTACAGTGTATAAATAATAGTTCTAGAGAATGTTAGATGCTTGTTTAGAGAAGAAAGAAGCGATTAATGTGAAATAATTTGTCATAAAGGTAGCAAAATGTAAACAAAGTAGTATTTTGACTTCCATACAAAATACTTATTCACAATAACTCTACTTATTGCCAAAAATCAACAGATGAAAAAAATGGTTCAGGTAATTGGCCAATGAGTTACTTTTTTGGATACTATAAAAGTACACTAAAATTAAAAAGCCTTTGAGAAATAAGAATAACAGCATTACTGAGGCATAATGAGACTTTAATCCTGCCTTTACCATACATCTACATTAATTTTGGCACTGAATGGAATTGTTTGTTCCGTACAGGGTATCTCTAGTAGATATAAAATAGGTTACGCACCTTCATTCTTTGTCTGATATACTTGTATATTGCACCAATTATAATTCTAGGACCTGAAATCAAATAAAACATGAAAATAAGACGTGACCGTGAACATAACTCACTTCACTTAAATCTCACCGCTGGATATAGTTACGTACTAGACAAGCAGGGGTATAATTCTGCAAAACTGCCCAGAGCTAGGATGTGTCTTCCCTAAGAAAATAATTAACCAGGGCAAAAAAAAATCTTCATTGAAAAAAGGGGCATATTGTCTTAAATTTGAATGAGTGTAGGTTAAATTGAATCTACACAAATATAAAGATTATACTATTTATCACATTTCCGAAATAAGAACAGTAAACTGTATAAAAAGAGAAAATTATCATTGACGTGCCCATAGTGTAATGCTTACATGAGTGCGCTTTTACGATGTTTGTATATAACGCTAAATGACATCACATCAAAGTTTATTTTGTTTGTTTTAATTTTGTTTACGTCACACTGACACATTATAGGACAAATGGTGACATTCCAGATTTATTGGTGGAGGAAGATATCAGGTGTCCTTCTGTGCATTATTTCAGGCAGGAACGGGCTCCTGAGTAGAACCACTGCCGTTCCAGAAGCTAGCTGGAAAGCTTTCTCACATGTCACATCAAAGTATTATAAAACTAGAGTGATATCTGTTTTTAACTTTTTATTAAACAAGATATGTTTGTAAAACATGTATGCCCCCTATCAGCAGCCAATTAGTCATGTGATAAGGTTATTATGCATGACTTCTGACCCAGTGATCAAACAATTAATAAGGGTTATCAAGTATCTACTGGTCATGACCTTAACCTTTGACCCCTTGACCCAAAACTCAATAGGGGTCATCTGCTGGTCACGACCAATCATCATACAAAGTTTGAAGTTCCTAGGCCTAAGCGTTTTTAGTTAATTGATCAGAAACCGTTTTTACCTACAAGGTCAATGTGACCTTAACCTTTGACCCCTTGACCCCAAAATCAATAGGTCCTCTGCTGGTCATGACCAATCACCATACCAAGTTTGAAGTTCCTAGGCCTAAGGGTTCTTTAGTTATTGATCGGAAAGCGTTTTAACATACAAGGTCAATGTGACCTTGACCTTTGACCCAAAAATCAATAGGGGTCATCTGCTGCTCATGACCAATCACCATGCCAAGTTTGAAGTTCCTAGGCCAGGCGTTCTTTAGTTATTGATCAGAAACCGTTTTTACTTACAATGTCAATGTGACCTTGACCTTTGACCCCTTGATCCCAAAATCAATAGCGGTAATCTGCTGGTCATGACAAATCACCATACCAAGTTTGAAGTTCCTAGGCCTAAGCGTTCTTTAGTTATTGATCAGAAACCGTTTTTACTTACAAGGTCAATGTGACCTTAACCTTTGACCCCTTGACCCAAAACTCAATAGGGGTCATCTGCTGGTCACGACCAATCATCATACAAAGTTTGAAGTTCCTAGGCCTAAGCGTTTTTAGTTTATTGATCGGAAACTGTTTTTACCTACAAGGTCAATGTGACCTTGACCTTTGACCCCTTGACCCCAAAATCAATAGGTCATCTGCTGGTCATGACCAATTACCATACCAAGTTTGAAGTTCCTAGGCCTAAGGGTTCTTAAGTTATTGATTGGAAAGCATTTTTACCTACAAGGTCAATGTGACCTTGCCCTTTGACCCCTTAACCCCAATATCAATAGGGGTCATCTGCTGGTCATGACCAATCACCATACCAAGTTTGAAGTTCCTAGGTCTAAGGGTTCTTTAGTTATTGATCGGAAACCGTTTTTACCTAAGAGGTCAATGTGACCTTGACCTTTGACCCCTTGACCCCAAAATCAATAGGGGTCATCTACTGATCATGACCAATCACCATATCAAGTTTGAAGTCCCTAGGCCTAAGGGTTCTTTCGTTATTGATCGGAAACCGTTTTTACCCAAGAGGTCAATGTGACCTTGACCTTTGACCCCTTGACCCCAAAATCAATAGGGGTTATCTACTGATCATGACCAATGACCATACCAAGTTTGAAGTTCCTAGGCCTTAAAGTTCTTTAGTTATTGATCGGAAACCATTTTTGCTTACAAGGTCAATGTGACCTTGACCTTTGACCCCTTGACCCCAAAATCAATAGGGGTCATCTACTGATCATGACCAATCACCATACCAAGTTTGAAGTTCCTAGGCCTTAAGGTTCTTTAGTTATTGATCGGAAACAGTTTTTGCTTACAAGGTCAATGTGACCTTGACCTTTGACCCCTTGACCCCAATATCAATAGGGTTCATCTACTGGTCATGACCAATCACCATACCAAGTTTGAAGTTCCTAGGCCTAAGGGTTCTTTAGTTATCACTCGGAAACCATTTGGTCTACGGACCGACGGACCGACAGACCGACGGACCGACAAGTGCAAAGCAATATACCCCCTTTTCTTCGAAATGGGGGCATAATTACTTATTACAATCCAGCCTCGTAGTTAATGCGATAAAGAATAATATCTATTGGTTGGCACGATAAATTTGAGAATATTACATACCAAGTGCACGATAAATTTGTGAATATTACGTACCAAGTGCACGATAAATTTGTGAATATTACGTACCAAGTGCACGATAAATTTGAGAATATTACGTACCAAGTGCACGATAAATTTCTGAATATTACGTACCAAGTGCACGATAAATTTGTGAATATTACATACCAAGTGCACGATAAATTTGAGAATATTACGTACCAAGTGCACGATAAATTTGAGAATATTACGTACCAAGTGCACGATAAATTTGAGAATATTACGTACCAAGTGCACGATAAATTTGAGAATATTACGTACCAAGTGCACGATAAATTTGAGAATATTACGTACCAAGTGCACGATAAATTTGAGAATATTACGTACCAAGTGCACGATAAATTTGAGAATATTACGTACCAAGTGCACGATAAATTTGAGGATATTACGTACCAAGTGCACGATAAATTTGAGAATATTACGTACCAAGTGCACGATAAATTTGTGAATATTACGTACCAAGTGCACGATAAATTTGAGAATATTACGTACCAAGTGCACATTTGTCTCCGACACCATAAACTATAGCAGGTCTTATTACACGATATTTCAGACCCGTCACATGACTTAATTGGTTCTCCACCTGTAACTTATACTTGGCTACATGCGTCCATGGATCAGGTTTCAAATCCTCATTGGCAGGTTTCTGCAAAGTTCAAAACATATTTTTTTCCACAGTTGTAATTTTACACTGACTATGGGAGTAATTATTTATTATAACAAAATTTTTACTTTAAAAGTCGGTTTTTTTAGGTTTATACTTGTGAATATAAAGATATACTTATATATATATATATATATATAGGATCACACATGAGTTGCCAAAATTATATGGATAACCACAGGAACTTGAGATTCTATCAAATGACCAAATTATACAATAATATCCAAAATATACCCCCTATATAGTATAAACACAAGGAATGAAAGGCCTTTTCCCCAACCCAAAATAATTTACCTCGAACAAATAAACAAAACAACAGATCAAAATAATCTATCAAGTCATTTCTATAAACGATACATAAATACATCTTATTCCACCGGTAACCTTGTTTATTTATATAATAAAGAGGGTATTTTTGTGTCGCCTTGAAAAGGTGACATAAAGGGGTTACTTTAGTCGGCGGTGTCGGCGGCGGTGGCGTCTGTGTCGGCATCGTTGTCGGCGTCCCCTAAAGCTTGTTCGGAGCATAACTCAGTCACTATAAGTCTGATTGACTTCAAACTTGGTATGCATGCTTCTTTCAATAACCCGAAGTGCAGTGCACAAGGACCGGTACTCTGCAGTTCTTATTTTTTGAGTTATTGCCCTTTGTTAATTTTCATACTTTAATTTTGTCCGGGCCATTTCTCTTCAACAAAAAAAGCTATGGACTTGAAACTTCATAGGATGATAGATCTCATTAAGAAGAAATGCAGTGCACAAGAACCAGTACTCTGCACTTCCTAATTTTTGAGTTATTGCCCTTTGTTAATTTTCATACTTTATTTTTGTCCGGGCCATTTCTCCTAATGTATAAAAGCCATGGACTTGAAACTTCACAAGAACTGGTACTCTGCATTTCTTATTTTTTGAGTTAATGCCCTTTGTTTTTTTTCATACTTTAATTTTGTCCGGGCCATTTCTCCTTAAGTATAAAAGCTATGGACTTGAAACTTCATAGGATGATAGATCTCATTATTAAGAAGTGCAGTGCACAAGAATCAGTACTCTGCATTTCTTAATTTTTGAGTTATGGCCCTTTGTTAATTTTCATACTTAATTTTTGTCCAGGCCATTTCTCCGAAAGTATAAAAGTTATGGACTTGAAACTTCATAGGATGATAGATCTCATTAAAAAGAAGTGCAGTGCATAAGACCTGATACTCTGCATTTCTTATTTTTGAGTTATTGCCCTTTGTTGATTTTCTTACTTTATTTTTGTCCTGGTCATTTCTCCTCAAGTATGAAAGCTATGGACTTGAAACATCATAGAATGATAGATCTTATTGATAAGAAGTGCAGTGTACAGAAACTGCTGCTCTGCACTTATTATTTTTTTAGTTATTGCCCTTTGTTATTTTTCATATTTCATTTTTTTCCTGGCCTTTTCCCCTAAACTACATTGTTCACAAGATGCACATCCGACTCGCGGAGTTCTAGTTTGGATATTATTGTTAATTTTGGCTTGGTTTTGATAGAATTTCATGTTCCTTTGGTATAGCAATGTATCAAACATTATTACAAGATTTTAAAACACTGAAATTAATGAAACTATTCTAGTTTAGAATTTTGACTTTACTACGCAATGTTTTTAAATGAAATGTTAGAATGTGTCATTAAGAATCTTACACACTGGTTGTTGTTACCGACCGGTAATATCTAGCTCAAGGGTAAATGTTTATGGCGGTAACTAGCCTCTGCTGTGTTACCGCTAAACAGTTACCAAAGAGCTGGACAGTCCCGTCTGTACCGACAGCCAGTGTTTGATTCTTTTTCTTGCATATAACATTTATAATCATTTAACAGAAAAACTCACGAAAACTAATATTTTCATTAGCACTTGTTTCTTACAGTAGGATCATTCATAACAGTAAAATGACGTCATCCTATGAACGCAATCCATTCATAAAAGGCGCGCTGCAATGACGTCATGTAAGGCATGCGACTTATCTTACATCGGAATTATAAGACTAAATGAATCTATCATTGGGTTAAATAGAGGATAGGGAAATCCCAACCCGAGGGTGATCGGTTCTATCGGGAACGAGCCTTGGCGAGTTTCCCTATCCTCCATCTTACCTAATGATTGATTATTTTTCTCACTCACCTGGACACAGAAACTAGATCTACTTGCTACGCCCTAGTTTTGAAAAGCGGGGCGGGGCTTAGGCTCTTGACGTCCGTCCGCAAAAAATTCTACTGACCATGTTTATGTGTGAAAAATTCAATGAAAATAAATTCATATGAGATCCCTCATAAAATTTAATTAATTTATTAAGCAAGGTTATCTTGATCAATATTAAAGTTGCAAAGTGTCACAAGTGTTTATAAGCAATTCAGCTCATACCTAAATGGTTGCCAAAAAGCATTTACCGTTTGCAAAGATTTTTCTACTTATTCGGTTATTTTGGCCTAATATTCAATTAAAATATATCAAAATGAGATTAGTCATCAAGAAGCATAGTTATCATAACAGAAAACATGCATGTTCTACATGAAAAGCATCATAATATCCGATTTTATGAAGGATTTTGCGATATTTTAAAGTGTGTTATTTTTAGTAACATATCGATATTGGAAAGGGCGGACCTAGGTTGAGTAGGACTCATTGCAGTGTGAAAGTTAATATCAATCTATTTTGATTCTGTGGACATTTTAGTAGATTAGCTCACATATTTTTAAAACATTTTGAACTTTTGATGTTTCATTTTTGTTAAAATAGGAGTGAATCGCGTATGTGTAGGAATACGTTTTCAGAAGTGCTGCACGTTGAGTGTGAGATAAGCCCATGCGAGATAAGATTTTCCAACACCGCTATTTTTAGTAACATTTACAGATTTTTCTATCTTGTTAGTGAGAAAGGATTTTCTAGCACCAGCGTAAACAGTAGATAATCCTGTCTTATATGCAAGAAATAGAGGATATTGAATGAGTTTAGGTTTAATACTAAATTTATTGAATGAGTTGAATAAAATCATATTATGCAAGCCTCTGGGGGGCATAATATTGTTTTATTCAACAAGTTCAATAAATTTAGTATTAAATCTACATGAATATAATATTCTATTCATCACATAGTCAAAAAGAGAATGGTTTACAGTTAAAAGGAGTAATTTTTCAATGATGCACCTATAGTGTTACGCTAACATAAGCGCGCTGTAACGCTATGTTTCCATACAGCGCAAATGTCATCACATCAAAGTGATATTACACTAGTGTTATATCGTTTTTATTAAATGGCTTTATTACACTTCTGCACCACAGTTCATGTGATAAAAGGAAATATTGAATGGGTAATATTACATGGAAAACAAGCTAACTGTATATCATGTGAAGAAATATTTACAGATACATTTTTAGTTTCTAAAGTTTTAAATTAACATACTTGTCCCAGCACTAGATTTCTTCATTAATTATGTAGAGTTGAACTTTCTTAAATACTAATTCTTATAAGGTAGTTTAAGAAGTATGTTTATATATATATTTACATTATAAGACCACTAAACACTGCAAACATAATACAAACATATCTGTATATTGTATGTCTGTGATCAATACTGACACCAAGTGTCTACACTCATAATAAAAAAAACGAGAAAAAAAAAACAAAAACAAATAAATAAAAATATGGAAGAAAAATGAGAAATTTGTCTGTAAAACTGGTTTTCAAAAGTAGAAAGAATTAACAAGAACAAGTCTAATTTAACAGTGCTTTTTTGTGCTACTGAAAACAAAACAAAGAAACCAAAAAACACATAAAAAGCTAAACATACAGAAAGTAAATTCAGCTATCTGATGATCAAAACGTGCTGTCCCTTAAATCTATGTTGTTCCTGATTTTTATTGATATTATTGTGTGTATCATCTTGATCAGCAATATTGCTAGCAGTGTATGGGCTAATATTGTAAGCAATTCACAAACTTTACGCTTTGCAATTTTAGACCAATCAGAGCATAGAATATTTTTTCTGTGCGGAGCTCTTTTTTTTACTGGCAACCATCTTGTAAATTTAAATTCAGGAGAAAAAATTACTTTAAAGTCCAATATAGTTTGTTTTAAAAATACGTTGAATATTTAATCAACATTTTTAACCCTTTCGCTGCCCAGAGGGTTATTTGTTTTTATTGATCACCTATTAGCCAGAGGGATTTCTAAGAAATTACTATATTATTAATTAATATAATTATTATTATTATTTGTTATTAGTATTATAATAATTATGTATGTTTCCAAATATGCTAGTATAATAATAATTATTGTCGATAGTATAAATTTTCTTATACATTATTATAAAAAATTATTTTCATTAATTATTATTATTTATAATTAATATTATTATGATTATATAGAAACGGCTAAAGCCGTCCATATGGCAAATATGCCGAAAATAACAGGGACGGCAATAAGCCTTCCCTATGGCAGTGAAGGGTTTTTAAAAAAAAATTCTAAAACACAAAATCACAAGGGTGCAAGGTCAAAAATTGTCAGGAAACCTGAAAACCCTGAATTAAAACATTTATTTTCAATTGACTTTATATAGAAAAAGTAGAACAATTTCATTATTGGGCCAGTTGAAACAGGATCCTGGTAACAACATAAAATTTAATTATTAACCAATCAGATATTTCAACAGAAAAAACCTTCAATCTTTATTGTCAGCGTGTATGCTGAATGACTACTTTCAGAGGACAAAGCATTTAGCAAAATAAATCAAAAAACAACAACAAACAAAATGGCCATAACGGTCCTACTTCGCTCACATGAGATCAACCTGTCAAGACCAGGTAGGTCTGCTTTGGCCATCATGGCGTAAAATAAGCAAAAATTGGAACCAGAGCTTCTTAGTCTTGTAATAATAACTGCATTTTTTTTTTAAATGTCTCTTTTTCTTGGATACCCTTACCAAAATGACATTAAGTGACTGACAGTATATTTTTCTTATATGCAACTTATATTTGAACTTATAACGAGAAACTATAAGTTACAATAAGTCAAAAATAAATCACCTTAAAAACCTGTCTAAGGCTGTTATAAGTTATACATGTATGTTTTTTTTTCCCAAACATGTAAGTCGTGTACAAAACCAGTATACTGGTCAAGTTTGAGGTAACCAGTTTTCTATGTCAGCTGTAATATTATATGCAGCTTCTTTCCAGAGTGGGGTTTAAGGAAAACTTAAATCTTTTTTTGGAGTTTTTAATTTATGCGTTTAAATAAGTTTTTAATTACAAGGGTACCATAAATTCTGAGAAGTCTCTAAGAAAAGAAAGTTAATGGTATTATAAATTTGTTATTCCTATTAACTTGGGTTATGTTTCCAATGAGGTCTTATAACCTGTCAAGAACCTTTATAACTAATAATATACATTAATATCCACAATATCTTTTCCAAAATTCACACTTTAATTTTTTGCAGAAGATATACATGTATAGCAGTTAGACAATATAAATGAATAGCTTTATACAGTTTAAGTAAGAAGATATACATGAATAGCTTTATACAGTTTAAGTAAGAAGATATACATGAATAGCTTCATACAGTTTAAGTAAGAAGATATACATGTATAGCTTCATACAGTTTAAGTAAGAAGATATACATATATAGCTTCATACAGTTTAAGTTAGAAGATATACATGTATAGCTTAAGTATGGTTTAATCATAACAAATAACAGACATCACACCTCCAAAAAACTTAACTTCCGAGCACTTTGTACTCAGGTAAGCTGAAAAGATATTCCATAACATTAACATACCTGTTTCAAATAATATAATTCTAGACAATACAAAAAAATGAAAAAAAAAAGTATATAATATTTTATCAATTATATCAAATTAAATTTATTCTATTTAAAAGAGCTTAAAACAAAGTATTCTTACAAATTTAAACATTACATACTATGTGAGACACTTTATAAGTTTTAGGAAAAAGTGTCAATACTGAGTTTTAGCAATATGGTTAAACAAGAACTGTCGGAGGACAGTATTGGCTCGACTATTCAAAAATTGTCCCAAGGGTGTTTTATTGAGTATAATAATACTAATTACCTATGAATACATAAAATTGACCGAAAAGATACAAAGGCTTGTTATTAAGATGTTTAATCAAGTAAATCACTGCTTTATTATTATGAATGCATAAAATTGTCCCAAAAAAGGGCACAAACTCTTCAGTAGTTATGGAGATAACAGCTTACAAGCAAAACTTTACCATGAATTTCTAAATTGAAAAAGGGGAGAAAAAATCAGCCTAAATGCAAGAATTATGGATCTTGGTCAGTGACCTACAATTATGATTCTAAATGCATATATGAAGTTTTAACCGAAACCAGAAACAACGCTTGTGTTTTAGGTTATGTACAGATTGGGCACTTTATAAAGCTGTGAACGAATCATTTCTTGGATACTGGTGTGACCGGAATGTGCCGGACAATGCTCTATATAGTGCATCATTTATACATAACCTAAAACACAAGCTTTGTTTCAAGTTTTGGTTCGTTAAATATATGTAAACAAACTGATTTTAGGAACTTCTAGCAGTCTATTGCATCAGCAAAATTTACCTAAAATGCAGGACAAGTAGCATAGCATGCAGGACAAGTAGAAATTTAAAGCTATTCTTCCTGCAGGACAAGTGGCTCTTGAATTTTTATTTTGATCCCTGAATTCACCACATTTTGACAATGAAAATATGAGCATAATGTCACTTAAACAATATACATGTAATGATAATTATGTAAAACCTTACCTTATCACTGGAATACATTTGACCAGACGATATCTCAATATATAATTTCACATTTCTTCTGGCTGCTTCCTCCGCACAGTTCATACCAAGTCTCACGATACCTTCCCTATAAACCTAGACAGTAAAATGTTCAATATAACAGTTAACATTGTAAATTATACTGTATAACTTATATAATTATAGGCTTCTTAGACACTGTGTTAAGCAATAGTTATAGTACATGAAACGAATTAGTTACAAGGATAGCACACTGGCTGGGGTGACATCAAGGGATGTTTCTGCTAAAATTTGGCGAGGCCAGATCTCTGGTCTCTATATATATCACATTAGCCAGATCTCTGGTCTCTATAAATATCACATTAGCCAAATCTCTGGCCTCTATAAATATCACATTAGCCAGATCTCTGGCCTCTATAAATATCACATTAGCCAGATCTCTGGCCTCCTATGAATATTACATTAGCCAGATCTCTGAACTCTGTAAATATCACATTAGCCAGATCTCTGGCCTCTATAAATTTCACATAAGCCAGATCTCTGGCCTCTATAAATATCACATTAGCCAGATCTTTGGCCTCCTATGAATATTACATTAGCCAGATCTCTGGTCTCTATAAATATCACATTAGCCAGATCTCTGGCCTCTATAAATTTCACATAAGCCAGATCTCTGGCCTCTATAAATATCACATTAGCCAGATCTTTGACCTCCTATGAATATCACATTAGCCAGATCTCTGGTCTCTATAAATGTCACATTAACCAGATCATAATACCCTTTACAGTGTCTTACGTTGTCTGATTGTCCATATTTTGTTTCAGCCGCAAGGTTTATCACGAAATCGTAATTTCCCGACTCGTCTGTGAACACGGATGACACCGACGCTGAAATACAACACTGTATCTATAGTAAGAATATCACTAAAAATTTAATACAACACATGAGCACAGTACGCAGTGTTAAGGCTCATCTGTTAAAATTTCTTAGCAAAAAAGGGGCATAACTCCTTATCTAACAAGTGCAACTTGTCATGGTAAGCAAGCATTTTGTCATGTCTGAAGTTTGAATAATGCCCTACAGTAAAGTTTTAGCATAATGATATCAAGGACCGCAGTGATCATAATAGCTCAAATTTTCTTCAAAACAGACAAGGTAACAAACTATGATTTTTACTGTAAACAATTCCTTTGTTGGATATACACGTATCATATATGGACAGTGATAAATAGAATATTATAGTACTAAACTCATTTATTGAACTCTTTGAAGGAGGCTAGAGGCTAGCATAATATACTATAATCTTATTCAACTTACTCAATAACATCCTCGGTAACCCAGGCTATTTAACATATATATGTACTAAATGTAGTATATGGAATGTGTGCCGTGGGTTCTGACGATGATTCAATAAATACAGTATTGCACTCTTTCAATACCCTAGATATGTATCTAAATGTGTCATTACATGATAATAAAACAGGTTTACCTGGGTTTATAAGATTGGAATGTTTAAACTCTACTACTGGACTAGCAAAGACATCCTGAAATACAGTGAAATATCTAACGATAACATAATTACTGTGTCAAAAATTCCAGGTGATTTTGTTCCCAAAATAGCATAAAATGTAAATTCTCCCTTCAAACTATTCCCATATCAAACAGATAGGGCAATCAAGTGCATTTTTGCATGATATAAGCACAGCATCAATAACGAATGCTTACATGTCAAATGACGTCATAATTATGATGTCAACAACCAAATGACGTCAGGAAAATGTACACTCAATGAAGTTCAATATATTTTTTATCAATTCCCTATTATATGGAAATAAATATTAATTTTTCTTACATTATAGAACAATAGTGCAAGGTTTACCGTTCAAATGCTTTGTAAATAATCACTCAGGCCTATAGTGGTGATATTCCTAAGCATTTGAACTCAAACGGTGTGTTATGATAATTCTGTTACAACGCACCCAATATCTATTTCCTTAACTACATGTACAATAACAAATCTTATGCAGCTTTCATTTTACAAAAAATAAATATATGACAGGGCTTTTTGTCACAGGTTGGGGAAGCAGCCCTGTCCTCAATTTTTGGGGAAAATTACACGGTATATTTGCAAAAGAAAAAACTTGATGTAAATTCAATTTTTGGGGAAAACTGCATGATTTTTAAAGAAATTTTCTTTGGGGAAGCAGTCCTATACCAGTCCCTGGTATAGAAGAAGTCCTGTATGAAAAAATCAAATTATATAAATAAATAAAAAGATTTGTTTGTTTGTTTCCTTTTACCTCTTTTCCCAACAGTATTTCAGTCATATAGGCGGGTAGTTTCCTAACCACCGTTCCTGGAGAGTTACACGGGTACTAGACTACCTTCCTCCGTGCTAAAGTACCAAAGCATCTCCCAGGGATCGAACCCATGCCATAGAGGTAACTGGATTAGAAGTCATCGACTCTAACCCCCGACCACAAAAATATTTTTTGAAACAAAGTGTAATATGGTTTGGTTTCTTTTGGAGATATAGCAATTTGTCAGTACTAAATATATTTATCATAATGATATTGTGGATGATGTGACATACATCCAATTATAACAGTGTAAATTGCATTTGAGTTGAGTTCTCGATAAATAACTCTGCAAGGAGTAATTATCTAGTACTCAAAATAATAAAATTTTATTTTCATATTACTTCAACTTTTATTTTATAATTCAATTTGATATAGAGATTAATTATTGTCCCTTTTTTTCAAAAGTTTTGTGTAAAAAGAATGATTAAAAGTTTATACTTTATGAATCTTGTTCATCCAAGCCATCTGAGGGGGCACCTTATCTGCAACTCTCACCTGTAATTCAAAATGTGAAATCCAACTTCCAAGTTTGATTTCTATTTTGTAACAATACATATACACTTAACAAAAGTTCTAACCGATCACTTTTTAAATTTTGATTATGTTATAACGGGTCAATAGATCCTTATACAATTTTGCAGAGGTAATTTTTGTGTCATTTTCTACCGATTTGTGGAAAGAAAAATAATTAAATACGGTTCAATGCACTCACGCGGGAGACAGGGCGCGGTTTACACATTTTGGCACGAAATGTTCATGCAGAGCGTGGTGAGTATCAAATTTTACATAACATTAATCCTTGTTAACTTTATAAGTGAAAAAACATAAAACATGGCACGAATGTCGATGCAGGATCGTGCCGTAGCAGTTTGAATGTTGAATGCTGGAGCCTCTATCAGACAGGTGAGTGGCTGTTCATAAAAATATTTTTTAAAAACATCGATAAAGTATTATTTAAATAGAAAATGTTATAATTTTATTTTTCTCAATATGTTCATTCTCTTCGAAATAAAATAAAAGTCGGATCTATTGGTATTATTCTTTTTCATAAATAAGCGAAAACTAAGGGTGATCGGTTAGAACTTTTGTTCAGTGTATATATATATATATATATATATACACATTAACCTTTTGGAAACCTATTTGCCTAGCCTTTCCAAATAATAATAAGGTGTAATGGTTTGACAGTAGAGAAAAACAGTTAAATGGGTCAAACAATTCAAAATTTATTAATGAGGCAAAAGCCAGCCCAATCGCAACTTTTCAACCCTTTCCATCAGTCTTCGAATAAGGACCTCAAACACAATAGTATGAATATACAGAATGGATAAGGTATTTCCGTCTAACCTACGCTAAGAAACTAAACTTGTAAACAAATCGTAATTTAATGCTTGGAGTTTATTTCCAATATATGTAGTATAAGTCCACCTAAAATAAGTGAATTCATAGGTACAAAAGCAAACAATACATTATTTTAATATTTATTATTATGGTTGTAGAAACCGAAAGTACAAAAACCAACCTGTTGACATTTAGTCGGATTTATTTAAAACTGTACATCAATGGGCATATTTAAATTACAAATTGTTGTCAGACATATTTTCAATCACAAGAGTACCGAAAAAGACATTGCTTTTCTTTTGGAGTCAAATATATCCATTCGTTTTACATTATCTCTGTTTCTGTTTACATCTGAAACCACGTGGTAGAACTACTTTCAATCCGTATTGTTTCTGAGGATATTATAGATAATAATCCGTATTGCAGGGTTGTCATTAAGAGGTGGCAGGAGCCCAAAATGCATTATGGGCCGCCTCAAAAATAAGAAAACACTCTTTGTTATGCATGATAAAGACAGAAATGACCTCCTCAAGTTCAAAACAAACCTTCTGCAAAAAATGTTAACGACAACCCTGGTATTGTTTCCCGGTATAGATGGATACCGAAAATAAGCTATTTTCGCGAAAATAAGATCGCGCTACGAAAATAAGATTTATTTTTGAAATAGTGCATTTATCTGTTGAAATAATTATGTAAGTTATATATTTATGCATTCTTTGCATGATTTTACAGCAAATTAAATTTTCAGAACCAAAAAAAATATCTAAAAAAGTACAGTTTGAGCCGAAAATACATACGTACGAATATAGCTCAAATCGCCGTGTGAGCGAAAATAAGATCGGGTCTACGAAAATAAGATTTATTTTTATTATAATGCATTAAAAATGTATTTTTGTTATTATTAAATTTTTTAGGATCTTATTTTCGTAAATATAGTATTTCCATACAGGTTTTATATTCAAATAAATATCAATTCATACAGGTTTTAATTGGTTTTACAGACCTTATTTACTAACAGATCTTATTTTCGTAACCTTATTTTCGTATTAACATTATTTTCATACAGCTTTTGTTTCCTTACAGATCTTATTTTCGTAGAGTACTGTTTAGATTTTATTTTCGTATGGTACATATTCTTATATAGATTTAGATCTTATTTTCGTAGTCGTTGTTTCAGGTTATTTTTGCACTTGTTTTTTCTTATATTTTGATACTTTTTTCACCACAAACATTTCTTATCTTATAAGAGAACATTTAATTCTTAAAATTTATTTGCAAAATCATTAAAAATAAAGTTAATACTATTTTTAATATAAGTTATGAACCATGTAAATCTTATATAGCCTATATTTTCGTAGACGCAATTTTGGTTATATGTTCATGCGTTCTTTCTATACTAAATTTGGAATATTTACGTACGGATTTATATGTATTTACCATGTTTGCCGCACAGACGTCTAATATTTCATTACAAAACATTTCATTCTTTATTATTTCATTCATACAAATCATTTGATAACACCAAAAAATACGTTTAACACCTATTCTCACAAGATAGGCCCAAGTTGCATTGACCAAATGTTAAAAATTGAACTTGTTTTTTACCAAAGTTTTATGACATAGACGTTTATACAAATATGTGTCCGACATACTGGGAAAGTTTCATCACTCAAACTTGATTATTATCTGTAGGACTGTCACTGAAACAAATTGAGTACTTTTTCAAAATGTAATTTACGTTACCTTAACTAAAAATAAATCGACGGTCATATTTAAAATATTTTGATATATACTATCAATGCATTTGATACAAATAGTCACTTCGATAAATAATTTGTCAAAGTAACATTACATATTTTATACACAGGTCTTTATAAAACCGTACACCAAGCTTTAACTTTCTCATTTATTTTGGGTTGAGTATTTCTGGAAAATATGTTCATCAGTAAAAATAGCTACATAAACAAACTCATAGTTGTACTTATTTTGTTGATTTTAATATGAAATATAAGCACAAAATATTAAGATACAACAGTATTTCACTTTAAAATATATTTTATATGCAGCATACGCCAATACAAACAAAACTATGAAATGGTAACGTAAATTACAAAGTATGCAGCTTTAACTGGGCAACAGCATAAACTTTAAAATTAAAAATAAAATGACATCTATGTTTCATTTTTGGCTTTTAATGCATCTTAGATGTAATTATCAGTAACAAGTTAGTCGACTGAGATATTATAATGAAAGGTTTATGCTCAAACATATTCAATTATCAATTTCTTTAAAAAACTAATAACTTAAGGACGCAAAGTACCTCGTGGATGCCATTAAGTTATATCTTTTTATCATATATTTATATAATATAACAAAGACTATGACTGGGTTTTAAAATGTACTTTAATACCAAAAATAACAAATGAACAAAATAAAATAATTGACCAGTAATGGTAACGTAGATTACCTCATATTCAAGGATGTTAATATATGTTTCAACATGTTCAACAATAAAATGTTGTTATTGCAAAAGAAAATCAATAAATTCTTAAATTGAAATGGAAAAGTCTGATCAAATGCATAAGAAAATATTTTTACTCTCTCTTAAACATGATGTTTATTTAAATAAAAAAATAAAAATAAAAAAAGCAACAACAACAACAAAAAAATGAACAACAAAACCGGCTTTGTTAGAAACATTGAATCATTTCTTTAAAGTAACGTGGCCTTCAATTTTTATGAAGATTTTATATGTTTCAATATAAAAGTCAAATAAAAAGAAAATGGTGGAAAATCATACTTGCCAACATTTAAATACAGAAACAATAATGAAACTCCTCGATACATCTAATCTACCTGTCTGCTATCTATTTGTAAATAAGTAAAGCGTGCGATTCGTTTTCTGATTTTCTTATTTTTAGAAACGAACATCACCGGTGTTCTTTAAAATTCAATATATCTTTAGACACTGTTTTAAAGTAGTTCTTACAGTGATATGTTGCACTTTTGTAAGATTAAATAAATGAAATACTTAATTAGAAACTAAAAATATTTTTTGAACAGAATATGAAAGCTGGAGGCCGCTTTAAATGAATCTAATCTCGTCCTCTTTTATGCTGAAAGAGCGCCCACAACAACTAACTTTGGATGACTCATCTATGCATATAAAAACATCTTTAAAATTGACACAAATCTTGTTGTCATTGTTTGACCATTTGAAAGTTGGTGCTTTGACCCTTTTACATTTAAGTTTTTGCTAGTATGAAACAAGAAAATCGTCAACTCCTCAATCAGTTCAAGGAACCAATATGCTTAACTACTATTTTCCTGTTTGCTGGTGCTTGAACTTACACCATTTTCATCATCGACAATTATTTTGTCTTCATCTTGAACACAACCAGGCCAATTAATTTATTAACTTGTATTTGATGCTCAAGCTCTTTCATTCTGTGTCAATTTCTGGATACTTTATCTCTGGTCGCTAAAGCCCCTTTTTATATTTTCACTGTCGAAGCTGAGTATGATTTTGTTCTTTTTTGCTCTCTTTCAAGGTAGTTTACTCCTTAAGATAACTTTTTTCCTCCCACAAGAGGCTCGCTGTATTTCAGCCTAGGCTATACCCATACTTGCTGAAACAAAAAAAAGTAATCTACGTTACTTATTTTGTAATCAACGTTACCATTTTTAGAAACTATTTATTTATGCCTAAATATCAGTTTTTCCTCCAGGAACAAGCAGTTTTATTACATTTAACTACTATATTATGATCCACGGTATAGGAACATGTCAAATATTTGGAGAAGAACTACTTATTGGTGTTGCAGATATCACAAGTTGATATTTTCGTAATCTACGTTACCAACATTGGTATCACATTTGTTACACCTTTTTAAAATATTAGATGATCTGGTATAACACATATAACATACAAGCATCTGTGTAGATCTGTTATGATGAAAATTTATGAACAAAATATTTTGGTAAGCAAAAATGGAGACCAAGAAAGGAAAGGATTTGTTACAAACTTAGTGGGCTATGTAACTAATATTTGCAATATATGTTTGAATTTATAAATGTATCAGATCAATTTTATTAGAATTTAAGATGTATTATTCAATTATAATCTTAAAACTACAATAAAAAACAACATTTTTATTACTTACCCTGTTTTGTTTTGCTGAAGATAACTGGAACTCAGTAATATAGTGTTTCTGCGCGGAAATTGCAAATGCAAATGGCGGAATAAGTGGCAAATTTGAAATAAAGGGAAACAAACTATGTGTATATTGATCTAGAAGTTTATATTACGGAACCTTGAAACAGTTTAACATTATCTCGGACATGAAAATCAAATTATTTGCCGAAATTGAAAAACCGTGGTAACGTTGATTACATCTCGTAGATTACATCTTTATTGTCACGAGCATGAATTTTTTTACATACAATTAACTTTTACAAAATATAAAGTATTGAATGTTTAACAAGTCTATTCTAATTGATAATAGTCTGTTAAGAGCACCCTATGCTACAATATTTGAGTAATAGCAGTAACGTAGATTACAGTCTTAACTTTACTTTACAAATATTAAGTTTGTGTTTCTGGTGTAAATTTTTTTTATGAAATAAATTAATCAGTGTATTGCATTTCGTTTATACTATGTTTTGTTAGTATTAACATCTGTTTAAACACATTTTAATGTGTTTATTGCCTGTGCTTTTTTGTTCGCAAACTAAGTAACGTAGATTACATTGGGTTTGGAGACAAGAAAGTTTTGTTTTAAAACGAAAAATGCAAAGAGCTTTACTCAGAATTAATTTTAAATGTCAAACTTCAATATATCATCAAACAAAAAATAAAAAAAAAATATGTTCATTTTTGACAAAATGATGCAGCACTTATGTGTTAATTCATGTAACTCTTTACGGAGACAGCGTATTTTTCTTTTAAATTGATATTATTTGTTTGTTTCTTTTTCTAAATACCAGTTTCTGACATCTATTGTGTATATGAGTTAAAGGTAGGAACCATGTAATGTTGAAAAAATAACAAAACTCAACTGTATAAGTGTATATGTTTTAACTTTCGTTAAGAGACATTCAAATTTCAAACTTGGGCCTATCTTGTGAGAATAGGTGTTTAATACATTATATCAAAGATAAATCTTATTTTTGTAGACCCGATCTTATTTTCGCTTTATACGGCAATTTGAGCCATTTTCATACGATGGTATTTTGGGCTCAAACTTCACATTTTATAATACTTTTTTTGTTTCTGAAATTTATTATTTCATTCATACAAATCAATTATTAACAACAAAAATACGTTTTAATACGATATATTATATCAAAGATAAATCTTATTTTCGTAGACCCGATCTTATTTTCGCTTTATACGGCAATTTGAGCTATTTTCGTACGATAGTATTTTCGGCTCAAACTTCACTTTTTTAAATATTTTTTTTTTGGTTCTGAAATTTAATTTGCTGTAAAATCATTCAATGAATGCATAAATATATATTTTACATAATTATTTCAACAGATAAATGCACTATTTCAAAAATAAATCTTATTTTCGTAGCCGCGATCTTATTTTCGCGAAAATAGCTTATTTTCGGTATCCATCTATACCCATTGTTTCCGAGGATATTATAGATAATAGCAGAGTAAGTTCCGAATGAAGCCAGCCATACAAGGACTGGAGAAGGTTAAGATTAACCCCTAGGTTGGGTGTGTGGTTTTAAACTAGCACATTAGGCCTTCTTAATCTGAAAATCTTGGACTAAGTAAGAAAACATCTTTACCTTGCTTGCTAAATTATTAGAAACCAAATAGTGAACTAAATTTCTGCCAATGAATCCTGTCCCTGCAACAAAAAAATCATCATGATAATTCCTGCCAGTTATAAATAGCAACGATAGTTAACTAGTAATAATTAGATGTAGATTACTACAAAACTGACATAATTAGAGAGTGTAAACTATTAGAAGAGTCCGTATCACTATGTCTTCCAATTTTAGCTAAATTTGCTCCTATCCGAACACTGGTCAGTTACAAATAAAATCAACGTTTAAATACCGCCATGTCAGACTATAAAACTAAAACTTCACACAATTATCAAGAGTATTTTGCTTTTATAGAAATTCTAATATAATTTTAATGTCATTTCACTTAAAGGCATACACAAACCTCCGAGTATCAAAACTCGACTATTTTCTTCGTTGGCCGCCATCTTTATCGTTGCAAGAACGAACAACACTAAATAATTTGTCTCCCTAATTACCGACAAGAACCGCTAATGGTTATTATTTCGAAAGGGTCGACACACCTATGCACAACTATATTTAATGTAACTACTAACCAGTAATGATTTCCAAGATATTTTTACTTACGCAAATAACAAATGAAATAAAATCATTATCATTATCAAGGGGAGCGGTGTTTAAGGTGTCTGCCTCTCAACCCAGAGATCATGGGTTCGAGCCCTACTCGGGTCACGACCATGTTTCTTCATACGACACCAGTACTGGAAGTACTGGCAGTACCAGGAAGCGGACTCGAAAGTGATCTCTTTTCATCTATTGTACAATGTATATATTTACCAGTGGTGGCGCGATAGCTCAGTTGGTTAAACCACTGATTATCACTCCTGAGGTCCCGGGTTCGATCCTAGGTTACACCCTTGGGATTTTTCAGAGACACTTTCAGTGTTTCCCACCTACCTAGAGGTGTACTGGTAAGAAATCCAGGTAATCCTCGCATGTATCAGTGCTATACACTGGGCATGTAAAAGAACCAAGCGGTCTATTCAATAAGAGCTAGGGACTGGTTCCCGGATTCCCTTGTATCTCATAGCTGTCTCTTTAATGTATACAATGTATACCTGCTTAGAGTGATCGAAAACGATTTTAAAGCAGTATGATGTAGAAGTAGAAGTAGAAGTATTGTTTTATCTGATATTTATTAATAAAATGAAAGGAATATTCTATTGTTATTATTAGAATTGCATCTTTATGTATAATGATTAATGATAAATAAAATTGACAGATGATATGTGTTAGATGTACTGTAACCAAACTAATTAAGTGATCAACATTCCTTTTTTGGTGAAAAATCTTATTGATTTGTAACGGAATCTGTGATATACTTATCGTATGTCCCAGACGGAATCAAACAATTTATGTACTTTAAAATCGGGAGGAACCGGATAATAAAAGTGTGATACAATTCGCAGGCTGTTATGTTGTATTGATGATAACAAGATTCAAACTATTCTCCTATTTTATTACAACAATTTAATACATGTTGTTAAGACCAGAGCTCAAGTGAGAAAAACCCAGTTATCAGAGAGGCATGGTCATATATATAACATAGCATTAATGAATATCAAGCAAAGGGAAGTAATCCCATTAACTATACAACTAAACATGTAAAGAGTTATCTAATCTTGATATCATAACACAGGCTTCTAGTTAATATCACCGGACAAATTGGATTAACTCCATACTAGACTGGAGCACTCACCTCTAGGTAGATATATAGTCGCTTACAGAAATGACGATCAATTTAAATCGACAAATCTCGTTGTTGTTTTTTTGTTTTTGTTTTTTTTTTTGCGCTGATTCTTACATTTTTTCAATCATTATCATACATAAAATCGGTGTTAATACTAGTTAATTTATTTAACATTTGATCTACTGCTTTCTATATTTCAATTCATATTTAAATAATTTCATAAGTAAAGATCTTCATACAGACGCTGTGGTAAGAAATAGTAAAATTTAAATTTAAAAAAAAATTCTAATCCTTTTTCTGATTTTAGGGTTGTGTACATAAATAGAATTCTTGTATGATGTAATTTTATGTGATGTCTGATTGTAATGTTATATTTGCTTTTAATCATTTAATGCTTTCTTACCCATATTTATATGTGCTCATAAATCTTAACTGTTTTACAGAGTCTTTCATAAATGTACATTGATCTTCTTAATACTTTTATATAATTACTTTTATACATATTGTTTGTTTGAATTGTTACAGGATAGTAAGTTATGTCGGAAAATAGCTTATATAGCTAATGTTTATATGTTTTTATGAAACCGACTTTAAATAAAGATATCTTATCTTATCTTTATCATGGCTATCAGTGTGAAACATGTAATTTAGGTTAATATATGCAAGGTCACTTTAAACTGATCAAATGTAGAGATATTGTCCTAAGTATATAGATCTATATCTCCTACACACATGGAGGGATTTTAATGAAACTTCATATTCACCACTATGAGAAACAGTGTAATGCGCATAAACCAGGTCTATAGGGTCAATATTAAGGTCACACTTCTAATGCCAAATGCTTGTCAGGAGTGTTGCATGCAAAATTAAGGCCATTAAGCAAAGGTCAAGGTCATACTTAGGGGTAAAACTTCAGGTAAAAAATGAAATTATGTAATCAGACCATTTAGTCATCATTTATTAAAGCGATTGTAACACATACAGTCAGTGTCGGATGTGATACTTGTAATTAAGGTCAATATAAGCAAGGTCAAGTTCACTTAAAGATCATAATGAAATATAAAAATTTTTGTCTTGAGCGTATGTTTTACACGCATGGAGGGATTCTAATGAAACTTCATAGAATCTTTCACCACTGTGAGAAGCAGTCTGGAATGCATGAACCAGGTCACTTCACTCTTGGTTTAAGGTCACACTTAGAGGTCAGTACGGAGCCGAACTTCAACATTCAACAGGGGATTATAATATCACTTGGCACAAATGATCACCATTTTAGACCTAATCCAGGTCCCTGCTACCAAAGTCAAGGTCACATAAAGATGTCAAAGTTTGTGTATGGGGACCATTTTAGTTATCATTATCTGATGGACTGTAACACAAATGATAACCATCATTGATGACAAGTGTGACACATGTAATTGTAAGGTCATGGTCACAAGAGATGATAAAATATCCAGATATTTTCCGGATATTGCCCAGAGCATATATCCTATATGCATATCTATAATGCCCACATCTTTGTCAGAGACCTCTAAGTCTGACCTTAACATTTAACCTTGAGATCTGGTTAATGCACACGACTCTGCTTCTCATAGTGGTGAATATTTCTATGAAGTTTCATTAGAATCCCACCATGCATGGAAGAGATATGCTCTAGACATAATTTCTGTATTTTATCATCTTTAGTGACCTCGACCTTGCATATATTAATCTAAATCACATGTTTTACACCATTAGTCATGATAATGACCATTTGTGTTTCAATCCCTCAAATGGTCAGAATACACATTTTCATCTGAAATTTTACCCCTATGTGTGACCTTGGCTACAGGGACCTGAATTTTGTACCCAACACTCCGCCTTACAACCGTGAAAATTTGTGCCAAGCTATTTGTCCTCCCTCTATGCATGTAGAAGTTTTGCTTTGGGACAAGTATTTTTCAAGTGTGACCTTGACCTTTTTTTTGTTTGTTTCATTTTTTACGCCTTTTCCCAACAGTATTTCAGTCATATAGGCGGGTAGTTTCCTAAATATCGTTCTTGGAGAGTTACACCAGTACTAGACTACCTTTCTTCTCGCTAAACTACCAAAGCATCTCCCGGGGATCGAACCAACGCCAGAGAGGTAACTGGATTAGAAGTCATCGACTCTAACCCCTCAATCACGGAGGCGGTTGCCTTTGACCTAGTTCACACACATGACCCTGCTTCCCATAGTTGTGAACATTAGTATGAAGTCCAATAAGAATACCTCCATATCTGTAGGAGATTATGCTCTGAACAGAATCTCTATATTTTATCATCTTTAGTGACCTTGACTATCATTTTTAGTGTCCTTTGCCTTGCATATATTAAAATCCCTCTATGCAAGTTTTGCTCAGGATAAGTGTTTTCAATGAGCTCTATGTGTGACCTTGACCATTGACCTAGAGACCTGGTTCATGTGTGCGACAGCTTCTCAAAGTGGTGAACATTTCTATGAAGTTTCATTAAAATTCCTGCATGCGTGTAGGAGGTATGCTCAGGACAAAATTGGACGCTGCCAAACCGCCTGCCCGCTTGGAGGGGGGGGGGAGGAGAGGGGGCTATAATAAGACCTTTTTTCAAACAATTGTCAGGAACTTCAGAAAGTGCCGTTTTTATAACACTTAATCTGCAATTGTAGAAATTTAGGCCGCTAACTTAACAAAAACAAGAGCTGTCACAGGAGACAGCGAAGCTCGACAACTAAAATACTGGACGCAGTAAGGAAGACAAAACTAGAACTGCCACTATCATGGCGTGAATACCCCCGCATACCACTTTGTCAGAATCAACAGTGGCCATTTAGAGCTCAAGAACAACCTCCCTGCCAAATCTGAGGTTACTAAGCCAGTGCATTGCTAAGTTATGTATTCTACATGCTTCAAATGTGAAAATGTCAAAATCAATACATTGCGGACAGGACATTCTTTAGCAATTGAGAAGAAAAGCTTTTTTTGTCAAGGTCCCTGTGACCTTGACCTTTGACCCAGTGACCTCAAAATAAATAGGAATCACCTTATAGTCATGATCAACATCCATGCCAAATATGAAGACTGTAGGTCAAAGGAATCGTAAGTTAATGGGTGGACAAACTTTATGAAGTCAAAGTCCCTATGACCTTGACCTTTGATCCAGTGACCTCAAAATCAAAAGGGGTCATCTACTAAACATGATCAACATCCATGCCAAATATGAAGACTGTGGGTCAAAGGAATCTTAAGTTATTGGGCAGACAAACTTTTTGAAGTCAAAGTCCCTGTGACCTTGACCTTTTACCTCAAAATCAATAGGGGTCATCTACTAATCATGACTAACCTCCATTCCAAATATGAAGAGTGTGGGTCAAAGGAATCTTAAGTTATAGGGCGGACAAGGTTTTTGAAGTCAAGGTCCCTGTGACCTTGACCTTTGACCTGGTGACCTAAAAGTCAATAGGGGTCATCTACTAATCATGACTAACCTCCATGCCAAATATGAAGACTGTGGGTCAAAGGAATCTTAAGTTATAGGGTGGACAACCTTTTTGAAGTCAAGACCCTGTGACCTTGACCTTTGACCTGGTGACCTCAAAGTCAATAGGGGTCATCTACTTATCATGACTAGCCTCCATGCCAAATATGAAGACTGTGGGTCAAAGGAATCTTAAGTTATAGGGCGGACAAGCTTTTTGAATTCAAGGCCCCTGTGACCTTGACCTTTGACCTGGTGACCTCAAAATCAATAGGGGTCATCTACTAATCATGACTAACCTCCATTCCAAATATGAAGAGTGTGGGTCAAAGGAATCTTAAGTTATTGGGCGGACAAGGTTTTTGAAGTCAAGGCCCCTGTGACCTTGACCTTTGACCTGGTGACCTCAAAATCAATAGGGGTCATCTACTAATCATGACTAACCTCCATGCCAAATATGAAGACTGTGGGTCAAAGGAATCTTAAGTTATTGGGCGGACAACCTTTTTGAAGTCAAGGCCCCTGTGACCTTGACCTTTGACCTGGTGACCTCAAAGTCAATAGGGGTCATCTACTTATCATGACTAACCTCCATGCCAAATATGAAGACTGTGGGTCAAAGGAATCTTAAGTTATAGGGCGGACAAGCTTTTTGAAGTCAAGGCCCCTGTGACCTTGACCTTTGACCTGGTGACCTCAAAATCAATAGGGGTCATCTACTAATCATGACTAACCTCCATGCCAAATATGAAGACTGTGGGTCAAAGGAATCTTAAGTTATTGGGCGGACAATGTTTTTGAAGTCAAGGCCCCTGTGACCTTGACCTTTGACCTGGTGACCTCAAAATCAATAGGGGTCATCTACTAATCATGACTAACCTCCATGCCAAATATGAAGACTAAGGGTCAAAGGAATCTTAAGTTATTGGGCGGACAAGAAAAAACCGACGGACGGCCGGACAGCCGGACGGACAAGCTGATTCCAGTATACCCCCCTTACAACTTTGTTGTGCGGGGTATAACTATTAAAGAAAAATCAACTAGAAGGGTTTTTGTCACAAAAACATATGTCTCCAAAAACTATGTATGGTCACTCATGTGAAATTTCATTGAAATCCCACCACAAGCTTAACTGTGAAAGCCAGTTCATAGCTCTGACCGCCATTTTGTGCAGCAAAACATTCAGGTGACATGCACAACTAGGGATGGTACTGATCACTCCTGTAAAGTTTCGTTGAAATCCCACCAGTAGTTTGACCTGTGAAGGGCGGACAAGATTTTTCTATTTTTAGCTCTGGTGGCCATTTTGTGCAGCAAAGCAGAACGTGTCGGTGATGTGCACAACTATGGATGGTACTGATCACTCCTGTAAAGTTTGGTTGAAATCACACCAGTAGGTGTGACAGCTCTTGTTTTGTGAAGGGCGGACAAGATTTTTCTATTTTTATCTCTGGTGGCCATTTTGTGCAGCGAAACGGAATGTGCCGGTAATATGCACAACCAGGGATGGTACTGATCACTCCTGTAAAGTTTGGTTGAAATCACACCAGTAGTTTGACCTGTGAAGGGCGGACAAGATTTTTCTATTTTTATCTCTGGTGGCCATTTTGTGCAGCGAAACGGAATGTGCCGGTAATATGCACAACCAGGGATGGTACTGATCACTCCTGTAAAGTTTGGTTGAAATCCCACCAGTTGTTCGACCTGTGAAGGCTGGACAAGATTTTTCTATTTTTAGCTCTGGCGGCCATTTTGTGCAGCGAAGCGGAATGTGTCGGTGATGTGCACAACTAAGGATGGTACTGATCACTTCTGTAAAGTTTGGTTGAAGTCCCACCAGTAGTTTGTGAAGGGAGGACAAGCTCAATGCCCCGACGGACGTACCAACTTTTGATATTTAAGATGCAAATCAGCTTATAAACTACACCTGGACCTAAGTCCATAAGCAAAATTAGCTCATAAAAACAAAAAAATAGCTCTTAATTTGAATTTTATGAGTTTTTGTTCTTTATTTAACTTAGGAATGAAGCTCATAAATATCAAATGTTTGCTTGGCCGGACAGACGGACAGATAGACGGTGAAGGCAAAAACTATATGTCTCCCAAAAACTTATAGTAAAAAAAATAACATTGTTAACATAAATTCCACGATCAAGGGGAATAATTCAAGAAATAGTCACGCTAGAGTTATGAACCGCTAGAGTTATGAACCTTAAAAAGTAAAGTGTTATATTTCTTAAAGAAAATTTCAAAGGGAGATAAATCTGAATATATTGCTTCAAGAGTTATGAACCTTGTCACATAAGATATGGTTGATAATACGGAAAACATATTTGAAGTTTGAGGTAGATTATGACCTTTAAAACTAAAGAAGTTATAGTAAAACATAACTTTTTCAAGTACAAAACTCTGTGTAAAATGCACAAGAAATTGAGCTGGTCTGATCAATCTTGTAAAGTTTTATTGAAATTACATCAGTGGTATAACAGGAGTAGTCAGGACAAATTATAAAATTAAAATCATTAAAGGGCCAAAACTCTGAGAAAAATCAATGAACTGAAAAATGTTGATGAGATGCACAACTAAACATGGTATTGATCATTCCCCTATACAGTCAACTACCGTTATCTCGACATCGCTTTTCTCGATATTTCGTTATCTCGATGAAATTTTGAAAGTCCTGATTTTTTCCCTTCTTTATCTATATTGGAATTATTTGTTTATCTCGGTATTTTTATTTCGATATTTTCAGTATTTTGATGTACAATTTCAGCCCCAACAGTTATTTTCACACTGTTATCCTTTGTTTATCTCGACTTATAGTTTTCTTTCGTCTGGTCCCTATAGACGTGTGAAAAACCCAAACTTAATGATAATTGCTCAATAGCGCGTGTCATAATGATGATTATGTTTGTAACATGTTTAGCTGTTTTTATAAAAGTTAATCTATTTAGCGTGTTGATTGACTTATGTCCAAAATGAGGAATTTTATGTTCTTTATAAATATTCGAACACTGTATCAATTCATTATGACTTTAAATGTAAATGAAATAGTGCAAGTATAGAAACGCTATCGTTGCAATATTGTTTCACAACATCACAACCAAATCAATCAGCGGTCGAACAACATCGAGAAAGACCCGGGAGGATATCCGGATCAACCACCCTGAAAACAATATTTTCACTATATTGGTGTATTACTGAGTAAACCTCACTATGTGTTTTTATCACAGAAACCCGTATTTCCGCTGGTAAACATCCGCTTATGTTACTTTGTTAAATATTGACTAGGCCTATGAAAACAAGACATGGGGATATCATAGTTTATTTGACATAAGGTATGCACATGTCTTTTGTAAAAATCAGTTTCTGCCTTATTAAAACCCTTATATGTTTATTACGACATTTCGTTATCTTGATATTTTAGGATGCTCCAGATGACTTCGAGATAACGAGAGACGACTGTATTTTGATGTAATTTTGATGTAATTGCACCAGTATTTTCTGTGCAGCTTGCAACACAAAAAACACCTTTTTATCCAAGGGCAATAACTCAGCAAACAAGAGCAACCGTCAGGCAGCAGCAACGCTCAACTTTTTACGTTTTCTAAAAACAAACAAATAAACGCTTTAAACAAATCTTTAAAAAGAACATTAAAGAAAAAAAAAAGTTTTCCTTCTGGAGTAGTCTGGACAAATTTTAAATAAAAAGAATTAAAGGGATATAACTCCGACAAATATCATTTAACCATAAAAGTCGATGAGATGCATAACTAGACTTGGTACTGATCATTCCTGTAAAGTTCGGATGAAATTGCACCAGTAGTTTCAGACGGACAGACAGACGGAGAAGTGATCCCTTTATGTAGCCATTACTCCATAGAGGCGACACAAAAATCTCTAGTATTGTTTTTATTTGTCTTCCTTTCAGACTATAATGGTGGGTCTGGTACAAGGCAAAATTTATGCCAAAATTTCTTTCAAAGTGCATAAAGCTATATATATTATCTGCTGCAAAAAATCTTGTTTGAATTTTAAAAGTGAATACTTCAAATATGCTTATATGAAAGAGAAATGGAAGTGTATTGCCTTTAAAGCGGATGGCGCAAACACGAAATTATTCTCTAAATGGTTAAAACCGTACTTTAAGGTTAAACAGCAGTATAATATTTTGTTGCCGAACATTTTATTCTGTTTATATACAATATTCATGTGTGTTAATTTACAGAGACATTCTATTCTTGGGAATCAACCATAATATTATTGAAACAATACAATTTTACCATTGATTTTTTTTTTTAAATATTTCATACGATATAGCTTTATACCCTTTAGTTTAACAATAGCTAGAAATATCCATAAAATAAAACTTTATATAAGTCATCAGTATGTTTTCCAAATTTATTTAAACATGCTCGGTTAAACTTTCATTTCAAAATGCAAATAATTTGACCCAAGGTAACTGGAATTTCAAGGGACTTGGCATTTTACTTCGAAAGAAACAAATTCCAGCAACTTGGATCTGCTGCCATTACGTTAACATTCGTACATGTATATACATGTGTCTAATTGATTTATTATGTCCAAAGTAGTAGGTTTGTTACTGTTGACAACAGCAATGCTTGAAATGATGGTTAATCACTTATAACTACAAATTATAAATGAACAGAACGGTATTATTTAAAATTAAATACATCTGAATATTAATAGTGAAACATAAACCCAAACATTTGTAGCAATGATATAAATGCAAATCAAGTTGGTCAGTATTCATCAGTTATAATATTAAGCACATGTTTACAATAAGCACTCGTGAAAATTCATTACTATAGAAGTACAATAACTAAATGAAATGAAAATATGTTGGACTTTAATCGACAGGACCAAAAACTCCTTTGACTAAAAAGGAGTCTTAGTAAGTCAAAATTTGACCTTAAGCGGAGTACAAATACAAAGATAAAGAAGGAAATTTAACGGGAATTTATAAATTCTTCGACTAACATGGAATTTTGCGTAAGCCATAATGACTTATTGAGAGTCAACAGTATTTAAAATGTGAATTCATTCATGAAATTAGTTTATGTGATTTATAACACTTTCAACATTAATATAAAATCTGACATACCTTGTCATTTCATATAATTATTGAGGATATTTGTTTGTTTTTATGTAAAGACTCTTAAAATAATAAATAAATGTTTTTACTAATGTCTAGCACACCATAAGAAAAAATATCACTCCTTCAAGCTGCACGCTAGATGAGCCAAAATATTTCAAGAAAATCAATATTGAGACAAATGCACTAAACTTTTAAGAAAGGTAAAAACATTCAAAATACAAGTTATATTTCACATGTTATATGCGGTTAACACCGATTTTGCAGTATTTTATTGCCATATTTCTACTGCGTTACTAACCACAGTAACTTGGGCTGTTTTTGCATACCGGTATGTTGACCACTTTTTGGTAACTTTCGTGGATTGTAAGTGCCAATTGCAATATGTAAATTACTTAATTTGTTCACCTCATATTATTTTACTTTTAAATATATTTCCAAAATTTTCATGAAAATTAACATGAATCTGGAGGCATGCTGCTTTAATGAGAAATAAAGTATCTTTATGTGAAAATAAATACATTTATCTAGTGTCATATCAATAATGCCTCCATTAAAATAGTTTCAATTTCAGAATTCTAGGATGGAAATCAAAGTGCTACATCACAGTCCAATCTTGTTTGGGTTTTATGGTACATCAACAAAACATATGTATACATTGTGTCAATTCAAACTGTAATATGATTTGCTATCACACTGACATTTTCTAAATTATCTCTTAACTAGAAATGTGTCCATAGGACACGGGTGCCCCCACCGCAACACTGTTCTGTCAATCTTTTTACTAAGTCAAGAGAAATAACTCTACAAATACTGGATAAATCCACAAGCGAAACACCAGGTGCAAATCTAAAATATGCTGAGCAACCTGCCTATAAGGTTTATTGACTATGTCAAATCCTTTTTGAGAAACTTGCGACACAAGTTGAAAATTGCAAAAATTTTCTAAGTGAAGGGCAATAACTCTAAAAAAACTAAATAAATCCAGACGAAAATACCTGGTGCACAACTGCACATGCTAATCAATATTCCTGTAAAGTTACATGACTCTAGGTCAAATACTTTTTGAGTTATGTGCGACACATGTTGAAAATTGCCAAATTTTACTAAGTCAAGGGCAATAACTCTGAAAATATTAAAAATATCCAGACGAAAATACCCAGGTGCACAACTACACATGCTGATCAACATTCCTGTAAAGTTTCATGACTCTAGGTCAAATACTTTTTGAGTTATGTGCGACACAAGTTGAAAATTGCAAAATTTTACTAAGTCAAGGGCAATAACTCTAAAAATACTAAAAATATGCATAAGAAAATACCCAGGTGCACAACTACACATTCTGATCAACATTCCTGTAAAGTTTCATGACTCTAGGTCAAATACTTTTTGAGTTACGTGCGACACAAGTTGAAAATTGCAAAATTTTACTAAGTCAAGGGCAATAACTCTGAAAATACTAAAAATATCCAGACGAAAATACCCAGGTGCACAACTACACATGCTGATCAACATTCCTGTAAAGTTTCATGACTGTAGGTCAAATACTTTTTGAGTTACATGCGACACAAGTTGAAAATTGCAAAATTTTACTAAGTCAAGGGCAATAACTCTGAAAATACTAAAAATATCCAGACCAAAATACCCAGGTGCACAACTACACATGCTGATCAACATTCCTGTAAAGTTTCATGACTCTAGGTCAAATACTTTTTGAGTTACTTGCGACACAAAAGTGAACGGACGGAAGGACGAACAGAAGGACGGACGGAAGGACCGTCCGGCCTAAATGGAATAAAGGGCCATTTCTTTTGTTATTTTCTATTGTTTAATAGGGGGCCAATGGCCCCTTACTCTATTGTTACGGAATGAACTCTATTGTTCTCTTTTGTTCTGTTTACAGTTAGATGGCCCTCTATCCCTTTTCGGTAGTGCGGACAGACGGACGGACGGACATGGGTAAATCTAAATGCCCGCCACTAACGTGGGGGCACAAAAACATAATAACATACATAAATATATGAAACAAAACTTCCAGAAAATGTTCAAACCCTGGACAGCAATTGAACAAAAATGGGTCAAAGACAGAAAAGGCCGGGTTGCATTTGTACACCAAATATCATGAGGCTGTGATGTTACGAAAAAAATTTCCATTGACCCATTAATGTCGAAAATTTAATTCAGTAGGTTAAAAGGAAGTGGATTAGCTACACACCTAAAATCGAATCCCACAGTATGGGACCATGTGTCAATGCTGTATGCCAAATATCAAGAGGCTGTGATTAGTAGTTTCTGAGAAAAATGTTACGAAAATTTCCTACCATTGACCATTAATGTGAACAGGAAGTGGATGAGCTGCAGACTTGAAATCGAATCCCACAGTATGGGACCATGTGTCAATGCTGCATGCCAAATATCAAGAGGCTGTGATAAGTAGTTGCTGAGAAAACTGTTACGAAAATTTCCTACCATTGACCAATAATGTCGAAAAATCTAACTAATTAAACTAAGTGGATAAACAGGAAGTGGATGAGCTACAGACCTGAAATCCAATCCCACAGTATGGGACCATGTGTCAATGCTGTATGCCAAATATCAAGAGGCTGTGATAAGTAGTTGCTGAGAAAACTGTTACGAAAATTTCCTACCATTGACCAATAATGTCAAAAAATCTAACTAATTTAACTAAGTGGAAAAACAGAAAGTGGATGAGCGACAGACCTGAAATCGAATCCCACGGTATGGGACCATATTTCAATGCTGTATGCCAAATATCAAGAGGCTGTGATAAGTAGTTGCTGAGAAAACTGTTACGAAAATTTCCTACCATTGACCAATAATGTCAAAAAAATCTAACTAATTTAACTAAGTGGAAAAACAGAAAGTGGATGAGTGACAGACCTGAAATCAAATCCCACAGTATGGGACCATGTGTCAATGCTGTATGCCAAATAATCAAGAGCTGTGATAAGTAGTTGCTTGAGAAAACTGTTACGAAAATTTCCTACCATTGACCATTAATGTGAACAGGAAGTGGATGAGCTGCAGACTTGAAATCGAATCCCACAGTATGGGACCATGTGTCAATGCTGTATGCCAAATATCAAGAGGCTGTGATAAGTAGTTGCTGAGAAAACTGTTACGAAAATTTCCTACCATTGACCATTAATGTCGAAAAATCTAACTAATTAAACTAAGTGGATAAACAGGAAGTGGATGAGCTACAGACCTGAAATCAAATCCCACAGTATGGGACCATGTGTCAATGCTGTATGCCAAATATCAAGAGGCTGTGATAAGTAGTTGCTGAGAAAACTGTTACGAAAATTTCCTACCATTGACCATTAATGTCAAAAAATCTAACTAATTTAACTAAGTGGAAAAACAGAAAGTGGATGAGCTACAGACCTGAAATCAAATCCCACAGTATGGGACCATGTGTCAATGCTGTATGCCAAATATCAAGAGGCTGTGATAAGTAGTTGCTGAGAAAACTGATACGAAAATTTCCTACCATTGACCAATAATGTTTAAAAATCTAACTAATTTAACTAAGTGGATAAACAGGAAGTGGATGAGAAACAGACCTGAAATCCAATCCCACGGTATGGGACCACGTGTCAATGCTGTATGCCAAATATCAAGAGGCTGTGATAACTAGTTGCTGAGAAAACTGTTACGAAAATTTCCTACCATTGACCAATAATGTCAAAAAATCTAACTAATTTAACTAAGTGGAAAAACAGAAATTGGATGAGCGACAGACCTGAAATCAAATCCCACAGTATGGGACCACATGTTAATGCTGTATACCAAATATCAAGAGACTGTGATAAGTAGTTGCTGAGAAAACTGTTATGAAAATTTAAGACCATTGACCATTATGTTGAAAATTTAACAAAGTTGTTAAACAGGAAATGGGTGAGCAACAGACCTGAAATGGAATCCCACGGTATCGGACCATGTGTTAATGCTGTATACCAAATATCAAGAGACTGTGATAAGTAGTTGCTGAGAAAACTGTTACGAGAATTTCCAACCATTGACCATTATGTCAGAAAATTTAACTAAGTTGTTAAACAGGAAGTGAATGAGCGACAGACCTGAAATCTAATCCCAGGATAAAGGACCATGTGTTAATGCTGTGTGCCATCAAGAGACTGTGATAAGTAGTTGCTGAGAAAACTGTTACGAGAATTTCCAACCATTGACCATTATGTCAGAAAATTTAACTAAGTATGTTAACAGGAAGTGGATGAGTGACAGACCTGAAATCTAATCCCAGGATAAAGGACCATGTGTTAATGCTGTGTGCCATCAAGAGACTGTGATAAGTAGTTGCTGAGAAAACTGTTACGAGAATTTCCAACCATTGACCATTATGTCAGAAAATTTAACTAAGTGGATAAACAGGAAGTGAATGAGCGACAGACCTGAAATCGAATCCCACGGTATGGGACCATGTGTCAATGCTGTTGCCAATATCAAAAGGCTGTGATAAGTAGTTGCTGAGAAAACTGTTATGAAAGTTTTTTTCCCCGCCCGCCCGCCCCGCCCGCCCGTACGCCCGCCCGCCCGTACGCCCGCAGCCCAACATTCACCATACTATAACCCAGGTTTGCACCAGTGCAACCCGGCCAATAATTGAAAATATTGCAGACCCTTGTGTCAATTTGACTTTCATACAAATAATGGAGAGCCAAACATCTCTCACAATCCCAGGTAAAAGTTTTAGTAGTATTCAACCTTCTACTATAAAAGCACTGACAACAGGTTTACATATGCAATAAAAGTATTAACAAGCTTTCTTGTCCAGATTGTTTTGTTCAAAATTATTTCTTCCCTATTAAACTTATTTTATCCATCAGCTGAATGATATCAAACATATCTTTGTCAATAATTGAAAGTTTGTAAAAACTAGGATGAAATGGTATCTCTACTTCTCATTTGGTCACCTTGTTTTTTTTATTAAATGTCTACTTGCTTCATGCTGATAGAGTTTCAAGGCATCTTCACCTACAATTTTATGAAAATTTGATAGTGGCAATTCATATTCAAGTCTGTCTCTGAATTTCTCACCAAAGACATCTGATACTTGATAGAAGTCAAAATTTAATGCCAGCCACACCAATACCAGAGTTTTTATGCTCAATGACCCATTTGGACAAATAGGTATGTAATTACTTTCAAGGAGTACATCTTTGCTACAACAGTACATGTAGATCTTAACCTTTTCATTTGTAGCTAAAAAAGATGGAATTAACTCATCTCTATTACTTTCCTCACAGAATGCATTTGTAATTGTCTGTGCTATAGCTTGAGCCTCTGCTTCTTCTTGCCTACATAACTGTTTCTCACCTGCCTTTTCATGACATTTAACCTCAACAAATGAAAAGCTAGAACTTGAACTAACACTGGCATCGGAATCACTGTCGTAATGTTCTGCTTGATGTCTGGTTGATCTTCTAGCTTCATCATATTCTTTGTTCACAGTGACGGTACATTTATTTAAAATCATATCAGCATTACCATGCCAAACTTCAATATTTCCTGAAATGGTAAAATAGAGGATACTGAATGAGTGTAGGTTTAATACTAAATGTATTGAAATAGTTGAATAAAATCATATTGTTTTATTCATTGAGTTCAATAAATTTAGTATTGAATCTACATGAATATAATATAATAAAATATTCTATTTATCACATAATTATAAAAAATAAGAACGATGAACTGTTAAAAAAGTAATTTTTCAATGACGCGCCTATAGTGTATCGCTAACATTAGAAGCGCTTTAACGCTATATATATAGCGCAAATGACATCACGTCAAAGTGTTATTACACTAGTGTAATATCTTTTTTTTATTAAATGGCTTTATTTCACTCCTTGTTTGTGATAAGTAAAGTTTTTCTAGACTATGGCTGACAGAAGGCACATACTGTCACAGTCTTGTATATTATCTAACGACAAGAAACATGGCAATGCCATGAAACCAGGTTTTCAATACTCACTAACCCAAGGGCTTACAGTTTTAGAGATAATGTTTTTATCATGTACATATAAAAATCTATGTCCCCCCCAACCCCAATGTTGGGCCAATTTTGACCCAATAACTATAATTTAAACATTTTTTTTTGTAGGACAACCCGACAATATTTCTTGCTGTAGCCTATATAATATCCTATAATTTTAAGAGTTTAAGAGCCACAGTTAAATTTCAACAAGTTATTGGTGGTGTTGGTAGTTTTCACTCCAGATCATTGCAGTAAGCGACATGGAATTCACCAGAGCACAGTCCAGCATTGTTCCTGGGCAGGCTGTCAAGTAGTTTACCAGTGCTAGGTGCCTTCCCTTTCACAAGGAACTGAAACTTCTGTACATTGCCAAAGCAGAGGTACAGTTCGAATGATCTTACAAAGGATATCATGATCAATCACAACGAAAGTGACCTGCACCTTCCGGGAATCAAACCCGGGTTGCCCAATTCACAGTCCAACGTTCTACCTATTGAGGCTAACCGGACAGCTTTGCTATTCTAATTCTTTGAGATTTTCATGTTATATACAATGTAGTTATTAGTAAAGATACTTGCAATGAGTAAGATTTAGCATTTCATTTTTTTTTTTTGGATATGATTATTAAATCATCACAAATTCAAAGACTAGAAATGTGTCCATAGGACACACAGGTGCCACCACACGCCACTGTTCTGTCAGTGTTTATGACTCTAGGTCAAAATATTTTTTGGACTACAGAACATGTGCCACAAGTTGAAAAATAAAAATCTTTTACTAAGTAAAGGGCAAGAAACCTTGACAAATTTAATGAATTAATCCACAAGCAATCCCCAAGGTGCATAAGTACACATGCTGACCAACATTCTTGTAAACTTTCAGGCCTACAAGTAAAATACTTTTTGAGCTATGCATGAACAAGTTGAAAAATTGCAAATTTATACTACTGTAAGTCAAGGGCATTAAACTGAACTGAAAAAAAAATCCACATGCAAAGTCCCAGGTGCATAGCTTCACAGTGATGTTGATCATTATTCCTGTAATTTAGTGATGTTTATCATTATTTCCTGTAAAGTTTGTTGATTCTAACTCAAGCACTCAAGGAACAAATAACACAACATAATGAAACCGTTTTTACCTTACCTTCAAGGGCAATAACTCTACAAATACTGGATAAATCCACAAGTGAAACCCAAGGTGCACAACTACATATGCTGAAGCAAACCTTCCCTTAAGGTTTAATGACCCTATGTCAAAATCCTTTCGAGTTAACATGCAAAACATAAGTTGAAAATTGCAAAAAATTCTAAGTCAAGGGCAATAACTCTAAAAATACTAAATAATTCCACACGAAAATACCAAGGTGCACAAACTTAACATGCTGATCAACATTCCTGTAAAGTTTCATGACTCTAGGTCAAATCCTTTTTTGAGTTACATGCAACACAAGTTGAAAAAAAAATTGCAAAAATTTATACTTTAAGTCAAGGCAATTTACTCTAAAATACTTGAATTAAATCCCACACAAAAAATACCCAGGTGCACAACTACACATGCTAATCAACATTCCTATTAAGTTTCATGACTCTAGGTCAATTACTTTTTTAGTTACGCGCGACACAAAAAAGAGAAGGATGGATCGAACGGGACGGAAGGGTGCCCCCCACTAAAGGGCACAATAATCATTTTTTAAAATCTACATTTTTTGGTTATGAATTGCAAACTTTACTTTTTCCTTTATAAAAGGGAGGTAAAATTAAGCCAAAAAATTTGAATGCTTTGTAATGCTACAGTGGTTTCGAAAAAATTAAGGAGTAGTTCCGATAGCCCCTGATACTAAAAATTTCTTCCTCCGGGGTAAAATTTTTCCACGTAACCCAACCCGGGAAAAGGACACCTGTATTTTTAAGAGGCCACTAATACAACAACTGTTTTGAACAAATGAATCGTGCTAGTGAAATGTCTTTTGGGCTAGTGTTTATTCCAATCTGGTAGTCCTACCGGCCTAGTGGATTCAAATCCGAATTTCTTACACTGTGCATATACTGTATATATAAAGTCGTTGTAAAATGAGTGATCCTAATAGCAGATTTAAACGTTTACTTTTATTTATAAAATAAATATTTTCATTATTATTTTAATTCATCATAAATTCTAAGATAATAATTCAAAAACTTATTCATTTTCTTGGTATGAATGCAAAACTTTATCTCATCTTATTAAAGGGAGCCAGAATAAAATGCATTGTGGAACATAAGCCTGTTTAAAATGAGAAAGTCCCAAAAGGGCAATTTTTTATCCAATTTTGTCAATTACATAACGTAAGTAGCGGATCAACAAGGCAATTATTCTACATGCCAAATATCTTAACTCTGGACATTTCAGTTTTGCAAAATTACAAAAATTTTAACATAATTATAGGGGCTAGGGCTATAATTTGAACAAAATTGGTAGAGGACTTAGGGTTAGGGTTATCATTAGGAATATCATTGGATATTGACCTTTGACCTTGTAAATGTACATATGGATTTTGTAGTCAATATAGGCAATCATCCTATGAAGTTTGAACACTGTAAGCCAAATGAAACTTGTGTTATGCTCCAGAAATAGTTTGATTAAAGTAAATTTTTCAGTGTTATAAGGTCATTGTGATGCTGACCTTTGATCTTATGACCCTAAAATCAATAGGTCATGTAATGGACATGGCTGTTCATCCTATAAAATTTTACAGCTGTAGGTTGATTAATACTTAAGTTATTGAGAGAAAACCTTTTCTGTTTTAAGGTTATAGTGACCTTGACCCTGTGACCCAAAAATTAATAAGGGTCTTCTGCTAGATATTGACAATGATCCTATGAAGTTTGAATATTGTGGACCCCATGGAACTGAAGTTATGCTCCGAATAAACTGTTTTCAGTTTTAAGGTAATAGGACCTTGACCTTTGACCTTTGTGACCCCCAAATCAAATAGGGGGGTCTTCTATCCCAATATGGACAGTCATACTATGAAGTTTAAACACAGTGGGCAGAATGGAAACTAAAGTTATGTTCCCACAAACTGTTTTTCAGTTTAAAAGGTAATAGTGGGACTTTGACCTTGTGACCCCATAAAATCAAATAGGAGTCTTTCTACCTAATATTGAGATAAATCATCCTATTGAAAGTTTTGAGTATTGTAGGCCAAAATTTGAACTAAAGTTATGCTAAAGAAAAAACAGTTTTCAATTTCTAAAGCCAATAGTGACCTTGACCTTTGACCTTGTTGACCCCAAATTCAATTAAGGGGTCTTTCAACCCAATATGGGACAACTCATTCCTATGAAGTTTGAAACACTGGTGGGCCAAATTGGAAACTTAAGTTATGTTTCCCAAAACAACTGTTTTTCAGTTTTAAGGTAATAGTGAACCTTGACCTTTAGACCTTGTGACCCCAAAATCAATAGGAGTCTTCTACCTATGGGACCCAATCATCCTTATGAAAGTTTGAGTATGTAGGGCCAATTGAACTAAAGTTATGCCTAAAGGAAACAGTTTTCCAATTTCTTAAAGCAATTTAGTGGAAACCCTTGACCTTTGGACCTGTGACCCCCAAATCCAATAGGGTCCTTTACCAAATATGGGGGACAATTCATTCCTTTGAAGTTTTGAATAACTGTGGGGCAAATTGAAACTTTAAGTTATGCTCCGGAAAACCAAATTGCAAACGGACAGATGGGATGGGCGCCAGGGGGTATAAAAACATAATAAACAAGAGCACCATTATATGCCCAAAAAGTAGTTGTTTTTTTTTAGTTAAGGATGAAAGGCATTTGTAAGGAACATGGGAAATCCGCTGTTCCATCCTTATAAAATTTTACAGCTGTAGGTTGATTAAATACTTAAAGTAATTAATTAAATGACCTTTAACCTTTGACCTTGTGGACCCCAAAATCAATGGTCTTCTACCTTATAAGACAATCAATCCTTTGAATATTGTGGGGCCAATTGGAACTTAATTATGCTGAGAACTGTTTTCAGTATTAAGGTAAAAGTGACTTTGACCTTGTGACCCAAAATCAATAGGGTCTTCTACCCAATATGGACAATCATCCTATGAAGTTTGAATATTGTGGGCCAAATGGAACTTAAGTTATGCGCCGGAAACTGTTTTTGGAGTTTTAATGGTAATTGTGACATTTTGACCTTTGACCTAGTGACCCCAAAATCAATAGGGGTCTTTTGCCCATTATGGGACAATCATCCTATGAAGTTTGAATATTGTGGGCCAAATGGGAACTTAAGTTTATGCTCCAGAAACTGTTTTCAGTTTTAAGGATATAGTGACCTTGACCCTTGACCTTTTGACCCCAAAATCAATAGGGGTCTTCTACCCAATATGGACAATCATCCTATGAAGTTTGAACATTGTGGGTCAATTGGAACTTAAGTCATGCTCCGGAAACTGTTTTCAGTATCAAGGTAATAGTGACCTTGACCTTTGACCTTGTGACCCCAAAATCAATAGGGGTCTTCAACCCAATATGGAAACCCATCCTATGAAGTTTGAACACTGTGGGCCAAATAGAACTTAAGTAATGCTTCGGAGTATCAAGGTAATAGCAGTCTTCGAAATTAAAGCCAGTCCGAGGCCCGAGTCCACTAAATTTAGCATCGGTCCGGTGATTATTGCAAGGTTGGTGGTCCGACGGGCCAGTAGATTTTTGGCCATGAAAAAATATTATAAGAAAAATTCAACAAAATAATGAAGCAGGGCTCTCTCTAAAAGATTGATATTTTTGCCTTTTTTGCAAGTGAAAACCCATCAATTCTGTCCTAAAAAATTCAAAACACAGCGAGGAGAAATTGTCTAATTGTATTAGAGTAATAGAGGCCGCCATTTTTTTCTTGGATATTTTTCCGTACCGCACCGTACAGTTACAGAAATTAAACCATTGTTTATAATGGTCATTATTTACCTATGATTTTGTGATAATTGAGTTAAGTTAATATTTTGTTGTTGAAAGTGATTTGTTTGAAGCAAAACTGCGTTGTTTCATGATTTCAATGCTAGTCAGTTATTGCCTTAACTTTGGTCCTTATTAAATTTATAGAGCTTATCAACTTATGGTCAAGAAATACAAGAAGTATTTTGCTTCTTTCAAAATTAACAAGGAAGCATGATAAACTGTTTTCCTTTAACCCATCAATTTATTACCTATCTATGTATTTGGTCCGGCTAAAAATCACCAGGTCCAGTAAAGATTTGAAAATTTTACTGGCCCGAATGTCCTGTGCTTTTTAAAGTTGTTTTTCGGTTGAAGGGGACTGTAATAGTGACCTTGACCTTTGACCTTGTGACCCCAAAATCAATAGGGGTCTTCTAGCCAATATGGACAATCATCCTATGAAGTTTGAACATTGTGGGTGAATTGGAACTTAACTTATGCTCCGGAAACTGTTTTCAGTATCAAGGTAATAGTGACCTTGACCTTTGACCTTGTGACCCCAAAATCAATAGGGGTCTTCAACCCAATATGGACACCCATCCTATGAAGTTTGAACATTGTGGGTCGAATGGAACTTAAGTTATGCTCCGGAAACTGTTTTCAGTTTTAAGGTCATAGTGACCTTGACCTTTTGACCCCAAAATCAATAGGGGTCTTCTACCCAATATGGACAATCATCCTATGAAGTTTGAACATTGTGGGCCAAATGGAACTTAAGTTATGCTCCGGAAACCAAATTGCTAACGGACGGACAGACAGACGGACGCCAGGGGGTATAACATAATATGCCGTTTCGGGCATATAATGAGGCATAATTTTGTCAAAATCCTTGACTGAGTTATGTGCTCTTGCCTGGAAGTTGGAATGATGGTCACGTCTTTCACACATATTTCTAAATTAAAAAACATGATGAAAGTAATATTCCCAAAGGGCCGATCACCATGGCAACATGATCAACGAATCACGGAGCACTTTGATTTCATGATGATAGCTACTCGAATAATAAATTGCTAAAAGTTGTAATTTTAATGCAATCTTTTAATTTTGTGACATCATAGGATACTATTACATGATATTAAGTGTAAATTATGATGTTATACGTAAATAAACATTATTTTAACGGTGATTATAGGCTGCATTCAGAATGAAGGTGCATAAATTTTGTGTTGCAAAAATGACGTGAATTTTATGGACAGAGCAACCTTATAATATTTAACTTCATAGCAATGCTAATATGGCGCCAACTGAGATTTTAATATTTACTTTAAAAACAAAATCAACCATAAAATGTTAAAGGTAACTTGTGTTTAAATGTCAAACAAGATTAAGAAGAGGTGATGAAAGAATTAGGTAGAAGAGCGCTCCAGACGACCAAAAGTAGCATGGCCGAAATATTGTAGATTGCGTTACAACACTTCTTGAAAAAGGCAGACATCTCACACACAGTATTGGAACCAGTGAAATCTTTATTTTTAACTTATAATTTCAATATGAAATTCATGAAGTAATAGCAAAGGAACATAACATGTATTAAGTATAGTAGTCAGACAGGTACCATGGCTGTTGAAATCAGAAGAAATTAAATAGTTGGTAAACATGAATTTAATTTGACGCCGTTGAATTTGTCAAAGTGCTCCATGACAATGTATATATGTTGTATGTAAATAATTTTAAAATACAAAAGTAAGTCACAGTTCAGTAATTTTTGATAAATGTGTTCGCTAGATATGTACATTTATGCTGACACAATTTGTACAGCATATGTATTGTTATACAATAAACTAGAACTGTGTCCAAAGGACACGGATGCCCCCACCGACAACATATACATGGTAGGCCTATATAGTGAAAAAATTAACAAAGGGCCATAATTCTGTTAAATATGGTCGCAGCGAAAAATTCCTTCCTTTACTACCATCTACACATTAAGGTTGTTCATCCCTGGAAGTTTAAGCAAAATCTGCCATCCGGTTTAAGAGGAGTTGCGTTCACAAAATTTCTATATGGTATATAGTGAAAACTCAACAAAGGGCCATAATTCTGTTAAATTTGGTTGCAGTGAAATTCCTTCCTTTACTACCATCTATACATTAAGGTTGTTCATCCCTGGAAGTTTAAGCAAAATCTGCCATCCGGTTTAAGAGGAGTTGCGTTCACAAAATTTCTACATAGTATATAGTGAAAAAATAAACAAAGGGCCATAATTCTGTTAAATTTGGTTGCAGCAAAAATTCCTTCCTTTACTATCATCTACACATTAAGGTTGTTCATCCCTGGAAGTTTAAACAAAATCTGCCATCCGGTTTAAGAGGAGTTGCGTTCACAAAATTTCTACATAGTATATAGTGCAAAAATCAACAAAGGGCCATAATTCTGTCAAATTTGGTCGCAGCAAAAATTCCTACCTTCACTACTATCTGCACATTAAGGTTGTTCATCCCTGGAAGTTTAAGCAAAATCTGCCATCCAGTTTAAGACGAGTTGCGTTCACAAAATTTTTATATGGTTATATGGTATATAGTGAAAAAATCAACAAAGGGCCATAATTCTGTTAAATTTGGTTGCAGTGAAAATTCCTTCCTTTACTGCCATCTACAGTAACACATTAAGGTTGTTCATTCCTGGAAGTTTAAGCAAAATCTGCCATCCGGTTTAAGAGGAGTTGCGTTCACAAAATTTCTACATAGTATATAGTGAAAAAATCAACAAAGGGCCATAATTCTGTTAAATTTGGTCATAGCAAAAATTCCTTCCTTTACTACTATCTACACATTAAGGTTGTTCATCCCTGGAAGTTAAGCAAAATCTGCCATCCGGTTTAAGAGGAGTTGCGTTCACAAGATTTGGGACATACGGACGGACAGACGGACAAGTGCAACGCTATATGCCCCTCACTTTGTGGGGGCATAAAAATGAAGATGTACATGAACTTTCCGGACATCCCTCGTAAATATTTGAAGTTTCAAACCAATATCTCAAAGGGTATAGAATATAAGTGTGGTGGTATGATAAACTCAACCGAAAGTGTGACACAGACACTGACGCCAATTTCAGTGAGTACTGAGTAGGATAGCTCTCCTTATTATATTAATATAAAAGTCAAGCTAAATATGCATGGGTTTAAGGACACAACAAATTTTGCACAATCTTTATATAATTATTAATATTCAAATATATTTGAAGAGTCAGTACTCATTGATATCCCTAGTACTAACTGACTGATAATTTTCAAATAACTCAACCGAGAAGCATACCAAAACTCACCAAATGATGTATCTGTAAACCTAAGCTTTTGACCACATGATGGACACTTCCTTTGTTGTTCATCTTTAGGAAAGTGTTCATTGTCAATACCATACTGGTCAGTATCAGGTAGATCAGGAATCAAAGGTGCAAAGAGATGAACAGCAAGGATAGCCTTCACCTCCACTTCATTATCCATTTCTGATAATTTCAAAATGCATTTTTCATGTTTGTCTGAAAATATAAGAATAAGTTTTGGAAAAAAAAAGCAAATTCTTCTGTGCATCATTTTAAACAGCAACATTCCTTAGCTAACTGGATTGCTCTCTGACATGAAAAGAGAATTCAAAGACTGACACTGCTCGAACCTACTACGTAAGAGGCAAATGGTTTAAAGATAATGACCTTGACCATTGAAAGGAAGAATCCAGGATTTCTGGTTAGGAGGGGGCGCAATGAAATTTCTTGTTTTAACAAATTTTAATATTCTTATTTGACCTCTTGTGACCTTGACCTTAATTTTGGGCAAGACATTCAACATGGAGAACATTTGTGCTAAGTTATTACCCCAAATGACCCATATTAAAACTTGACCTAGAAATCATCAAAACAACCTTTCTGACCAACTTCCAGGATATTTAGCTCAAAACAGTAGCCTTTAGTGCGTTAACAAGGTTTTTCCATAGTGGGGCTGTATGACCTAGATTTTAACCCCAGATGACCCATATATGAACTTGATGTAGAAATCATCTAAACAACCTTTCTTATCAATTTATAGGATATTTGGATCAAAACAGTAGCCTCTAGAGTGTTAACAAGGTTTTTCCATAATTGGGCTATGTGACCTAAGTATTGACATTTTCACACTAGTCGTTTTGCTACCTAGCATCTGGAGATAACCAATCTTCTAACTTGACCTGTATTTCATTGAGCCAAACATTCTGACAAAGTTTGATGATGATCCAATGAAAACTGTGACTGCTAAAGTGTTTACAACCCAATTGTTGACGACACACAACACACAACGCTGGACAGTAGACAGACGTTTCACTATTGAGACAGTTCACACCTGAAGATGGTTCATACCAAGACGTTTCACTCCCTTTTTATACCAAAATTTTTCTAAGACTTATGATATACTAAAAATAAATAAACCTTACATTTAACAAGAGCCACTGCCGGGCGGGGGCAACGCTCAACTTTTTACTTTCTCTAAAAGCAAACAAAGAAATGTTTGAACAAAATCTTAACGTTTCCTTTTTATAAAATTAATCGGTCTGTCTTGTCACATTAGTTTTGTCTATATATTTTAAATAGAAACACGCAATTCTATAAATAGAAAATTCTATAAATAGAAACACGCAATTCTATAAATAGAAACACGCAATTCTATAAATAGAAAATTCTATAAATAGATACATGTGGTGGTGACACGTGGTGGTGTCACGTGGTTGACACATGGTGTCAAGTGGTGACGTCACATGGTGGTGTCACGTGGTGGTGTCACGTGGTGGAGTCAAGTGGTGAAGTCATGTGGTGAAGTCACGTGGTGGTGTCAAGAGACCAAGTGTTTGATAAACAACAAGGTCTTGTCCTTAAGTATGTTCTGTTATAATATGAAGTTGATCCCTTCAATAATAGCAAAGTTACAGCCAGTTACAGACAAAAAATTAAAATTTCAATAATTTTATGCTCAAGCCTGAAGACAATCCATTCAAAAATAACAAAGTTACAGCCAATAACAGCATGAACAAGCAAAATTTGGACTTTTAACCTTGAAGGTCAAGGTCATTTATGGATGAAGGTCAAGGTTAGTGTGGTCTACTGAAAGGTCTTGTCCCAAGGGTTGTTGTGGCCAAGTATGAAGACAATACACCAAGAAATAAAAAAGTTATGATCCAGGTACAAGTTTGCGGACGGCAAAGGCAACGCTGCCGCGACTATAGTAATACCTCTACTTTTTTTTTTTCAAAAAAAAAAAAGTCAAGGTAATAAAAATGAATTACGGAAGGGAATTTCACTTTTTTTAATGACTTCAGTTTGTATATCATAATTGTTATCCCTGTTTCTATATTTATTTTCGTACATGTGAAACAGGTAAGAATTCATTATTTTTGTTATCATAAATACTTTTTAAACCGTAAATATATTATATCTTATAGACAAAATTCTGAAATTTTCGACCCTGTATTATGAATGTTTATGTAGAAGGTTTAAACCTTTGTCAAGCAGTACCTATAAAGATATGTGATTTTACTTAATGGCCATTGCAATCAGAAATGCCTTTAAATAAAATTAAAATAAAAGCATTGGGATTTGCAACGACGTCATGTTCAAAAACAGGTTTGATGGTCAACTTTGACGTCGTGTGTACACAAATTGGCTGAAACTACTGAAATAAAATTAACGAAATCTAATCAGAAATATGGTCAACTTTCTGCATGCCAATTTTCAAAACGGTACTCGAAAGTTCGCAAAAATAATTTTAATAAATATTATTCTCCTTGAATCAAAATCCAGTGACGTCACGGAATGGAGTCGGCGACAAACTCAGATCGCGGGAAATAATCAGATAATGTTGAATTATTCCTACACAGCTATGCGATTTTAAAAAGTTATCGGTGTTATTTGATGCATTTATGTATTGTTTATCGAAATGGCCAGATAGAATATTTTGATCCGTTGTTTTGTTGATTTGTTCGGCGTAAATTATGTTGGGGTGGGGAAAAGGCGTTTCATTCCTTGTGTTTATTTATACTGTATAGGGGGTATATTTGGATATTATCATTAATATTGGTTATTTGATAGAATTTCAAGTTCCTGTGGTCCATACAATTGACAAATTGGGAGTGAAACGTCTAGGTGTGAACCGTCTGAGTACTGTCTTGGGGGTGAAACGTCTGAAATTCACGCCAAACATAGCCCCATCACTATACCTCACCTTGACCACTTCGTTAGCACTTTGTGGTCAGGTGAGCTAATAATACATTGGCTCATTTACTCATGTCATGTCCACCTATAATAAATTGTAAATAAATTTCAAATTAAATAACCATTTATAAGATCTATACTGATTAATTCCTTTCTTTTTGTTTGGGATTGGTGAATACTGAATAAAATAGATTCTATACCATAATCTTCCGTCAAATACTTCTTTATACAGGCTAATGCAGCTTTTTTGTTATCATCTAAAATAGACACCTCTGGCCTTTGTTCGTCACCGCCTCCTTTTTCAAGTCCCAAAATCATATCTAAAAAAGGGTCTCTCTTATGGCGATCAGTCGCTACAGTGATTGTGGGCCATCAACCGCTGGGCACTAGAACACTAAATCTGTGTATTTTCTTCCAGGGTCCGCCTATGATACAGCTTATTACGGTACGTTTAAAAAGTATTGTAGAACTCTATCAAATGGAAAAATCTTTAAAACATTACATATAAAGAACAGTGGTGATCGTAGCGAATGGTTGTCCAGTCAGACTTTTTATGATAATTCGTATATAATTGCTTCTTATAGCCCTATGAAAATAAAATTGGCTAACGTCTCAGACTATATTAATTAATATTATCATATCAATATATACTTTTATTTTTTATGGCTTCAAAACGAGCTGTACATTTGCCTCTTGACAATAACCACGAATCATATTATGGTTCTATGCAAAAACTGAGATGACTATATATTGTCTCTTGCAGGTAGCCACGTACACACAATGGCCTCATGAAAATACATTGATGGTTAAAGGCCGAGCTTGTTTATATATCCCGCACAGGATTACATATGCTCTCTTGGAAAAATACCACATATTTACCCGCTAAGCAAGAATATTACGCTCCTATGTAGCCACGTATGACCCCATGAAAAATTCTAAACGGTTGCATTTGTTTCTATTACTTAGCCACGTATGGCCCCATGTAAAAATCTTAAATGCTGGCAGTTATAGACTGTCTATTTGCTTGTGAACAGCAACATATGGCCCCGTGTTATAACTGAAACAACCGTAGTAATAGGCTATATATTTCTCTTGCAGGTTGCCACGCATGGGCTCGTGGAAATACTTCAACGGTTAAACGCTGAACTTGTTTATTTCTCATGTACAGGGGTAAATATGACCACTTTGGAAAATGAAAGATATTTACCCCCCCCCCCCCTAGCAAGAGTATAGCGTTTCTTATGTAGCCTCGTGAAAAAACTTAAAGGTCAGCAGTAATAGACTGTCAATTCGCTATTATGTAGCCACGTATGGCCCCATGAAAAGTTCTAAACGGCTGCATCAAAGGACTGTGTGACAGTTTCTATTACTTAGCCACGTATGGCCCTGTGTAAAAAACTTTAATCTCGGCATTAATAGACTGCCTATTCGCTTGTGGACAGGCAAATATGGCCCTATATAAAAACTGAGATGACTTTAGATATAGGCTGTATATTGTCTCTTGCAGGCAGCCACGTATGACCACACGAAAACACTTTATTGGTTAAAGGCCGAGCTCGTTTATTTGTCCCGTTGCAAGAGTACACACCCCCTTTTGAAAATACCAGAAGATTACCCCCAAAGCCAACGTATTGGGTCTCCTACGTAGCCGCTTTTTGGTACCGTGAAAAATTATAAAAAAGGTTGCAGCAATGAACTGTGCATTA